AACCGTTACCTAAATATTGAGCTTCTTGATCCGCGGGTAATTCCGACCTATCAAAGAATTATATTTACACCTACGACAAAAACAACAAGCGTTTTTTCCGAAAATGCACCTCAACACAACTAATTGGAAACAACGAAAAATCAACAAAGTTAACAACATTCATAACTCTTTACAACGACGAAGCATATTGCAAAAACATTGCCAAATAAATGACGTCAATGTAGTGTAACTTTGCAAACAAAACAAAAAGAAAGAGGGTCAAAAAGTTTCCTTCAAATTTTTCCACTTACTGTCAAGGCAATCTGCCCTTGCGTCTCTATAGTCTCCATCGAAATATATAATTAGTTCATAATATTCGTAAACCCACATCGTTCAACCCATTGATACTCTTTGAAAAATTTAAAAAGGTTTTCTTACACGAGGTTAGTTCTCGAGACTATTGATTGAAAACTACGCCGAACGAACGGCTCGAAGACGTTTGGATCAAGATAGAATCATTCCAGATCTAGTCTATCCTTGGGCGCCCTGGAAACATCAGCGAACGTTTACCTCAGGCGATTCATGATCTTTTATTTATGTTAAAGACGGGAGAAGTTGTTAATCCGTTAACTCTCAAGACGATGCAATAACTCAAAACTAAAGACCATGAAGGCAGACTATTCAAAAATACAACCCTTGCATTAAGTGACATCCATTTTATTTCAACACTAGCAAAACGAAAATACAGACATTCAACCGATAAATATAATTCAATAAATTTTAGTGAGGACTCATTTATTTATAAGCGTAAAAACACGTAACTATGTTAATTCACGCATAAACGGTCTAGAACTGAAACGAGAGGAACTGAAAACCTGATGCTCAACAATGTAGCTTCTACAACAACAACAACAAAAAATCATCTGGTTCAATAAAAAATCACAAAACAAAATTCAAAGCAAATCAAACTGTTCTTTTTAGTACACGTTAAAACTGTGAGGTCAAACGAACTTTAGGCGCAAAAACGGAAGAGATTATGAAATAAAACTGAGGCTATTTAACGTTATTTCCATCGTAAAGGTAATTAGTTTTTTTTATTTTATATAGGTCAAGTAAAATATGTTCAATAGCAAAATAAGCGCGGAGCGGAGGCCCAGGGTCCGCCTGGCCTTTTCTACATTACTAAAGCTCTATGCCTGTCAGTTCGTTTGGTTGTTTGTCTCTCCAAGTTATTTTTGAGTGTTTTTGAGCGCATTTTTTGAGAAGTGAAAAGCTATGATATGACGATGTGATATGACGATAATTTAGTTACACAATTTTTTTCGAAAATTAGGTCTCAAAGATTTTTTTAAAGAAATAGAAAAATATATGAAACATCCTTTCTGCGCAAAGTACCCCTTTATTGACGCTAATTCTTTGCACCAATCAATAGGTTACGAACTGAGAATAAACGCAATACATCTGAAATGACAGCTAAAATTCACATTTTGATGTGAAAAAGCCAAACACCAAAGGTAGTAGCTCTTACCCTAAGGTCACACTAGGATTAATTTCCTTATTCTAGAAAGGGTATTTCTTGCCATGAGGAATTCTCGATGAGCTGAGTTGAAATGCAATATATGCTTATATACCTTAGTTTTCGGATTAAAAATGCCACTAAAATGTTAAAACTAAATATAGTATTCCAGGAAAAGAAGAGGTTCCTTTACGTCAATCAATAGATCTCGACGAGCTGAATGAAAATGCAATACATATATCGACACCTAAAACTGATATTTTTAGGTGAAAATTGCAAAAACCTTGTTGGTTGTATTGGTTTGTCTGTATAACAATAAGGTGAAAATTCGTTTTGAGTTGTTATTTCAGCTAATTTCTAATAAATATAAATTAAACAGTTATATTTCGTGGAAGTTTTCTAATCTATTTTCAAACAAAAACCAACATTTAAAAAAAAGGTATATACTTATGGAAAACATCAACAAAGTATTAAAAAATACGTTGTTGCGTCATAGAAGCAAAATGAATATGTCGATGGAGACATATCAGATATTTATGTCTTCATTCAGCATTATATATGCAATGATTTATTACCAAAAAATCAGAAGAAAAATCGTTAAGCCTTAGAAAAACAAATTCAATACATCAGCCAAAATATAAAAAATCGTCATGAAATATTTACTATATCTTCATTTAGTAGAATATGTGATTTACCATAAGAAAAAAGAGGCAAAAAAAATCTTTAACACTGAGGAACAGAATCAATAGATTAGCCGATTCTATCAATAGCAAGATTCATTAAAGAAGGCTGAATCGGTTCACGCACGTTCTTCAGAGGTCGACTCACCATATTCATTATTAGCGAACACTAAAGGAACCTCGTAATTAGATTGTAGAAATCTACCATGGCCATCATATCACGAGACAGACAAATCTCCTGGTAAGCTTCCTGGTAAAATATATCAGAATAGTTTGATGAAATAATTATCACAAAGGGCTAACTGCTGGTGCATATATAGTAAAGCCTATATTAGGTTGGACGTAACATCAGTAAATCAGATAGAAACACGATAAAACAAACGCAGGGCGACGCTCGCTGTTAAAACTCTTACCATTTATTTGCCTATACGACCCAAATCGATTCTTTAAAGTAATTGGGTTCGACTGAGTTTCATCCTTCGAAGAGCTGCGCGTACGAGGAAGCCAACTGAATGAATTTATTTCCCGGGCGAAGTTTTTCTTCCACCCCATGGAACGTAGTATTAATTTAGGCTAATTGTCGTTGTCAATTTAAGGTAATCGGTATTTTGTTCTCTTTAAGCGTTTTGCAGCAATCTCTTATATGTGTTTAGGGGTTGTTGGGACCGAAGGGGGCTAAATTTTGATAGGATGTTTACGTAAAAGTCTATATAAAAATGATCGTTCTTAATACCGATCAAAAGTTCTTGCCGAACTGAATCGAAATGTAACAAATGTCTTCGTACCTAAATCTCAGTTTTAACATTAAAAATGCTCTGAAAGTCGAAAGCTTAATATAATGTTTTATAAAAAGGGGTCGCTCGCGGTGTTAGCCATAAGCTCTAGCTCAACAGAGTGAAGATACTTTATCTTTAATAGATATTTTGGCGTGAAAGTGATACAAAATCCAAGGGATTCATCTTGACCATGTGACACTAGGATGAAAAAGCGTTACAAACTACTTTTTAGCGTTCCTTTAACCGAATCTTTAACAGGCTTAGATTGTAAGGTTTTAGCGGCTGATATAACGAATATTTTAGTCGAACAACTCTTTTCGAAATTATTATTTAAAATATTTCTTGACAGAAGTACATCAAAATATTTGTTTACGCAAATACCAGATTTTTGGCGTTAATTCTTTATATCAATCTATAATATATCTCAATGAGCTGAGTAAAAATGCAATATATTTTTATACGGCTAAAATAAATATTTTGGTCTGAACAAGGTCAAAAACTGAATATGGTGGTTTTTTCGCTTGTATATAGAGGAAAATTTCTGGAGGAATCTATGTGGAGGAATATTTCTTAGCCAAAGTTTTTGATGAGTTGCAATGAAATGCTACACATGTTTGTGTATCTAAATTCTAGTTTTGCGTCGAAAATTTATGTGCATCCCAAAAACAGAATCATTCAGCCAACACTAAGAAAGCCTCCTAATCGTGTTATAGAAATAAACCAGAAGCTAGTATATTGCTTAAGTAAAAGGGAGTTGTCTAACCCCTTGGCGAACATCTTAAAACAGCCTGATGAGATATCTCGGGGTCAAATAAGATAGGGTAATCAAAACGGAATAACTATTATGTAATGTAGTCTTTGTTGGACTGAGTACAACATTAACAAATAGGATAAATCAACGGTAACGTAAACGCAGAGCAAAACTCGCGGATAGTTTCCTACTAAAATTGAGTTTATCTGTCTGTTTGTGGGCCCGGCTGTATGTTTGTCTAATCCACAATCGATCTCGCAGTGTAGTCGCGTTGGGGTGATTTTTTAAAAGTGTTAGAATTTTAATTTTGGGGTGAACTGCACGTTAATGTATTCGATTAGATCAGTTATTTTTTAGGAGGATTTCATTTTCCTAAAGAATTTCGTAAAGAGTTATGTCAGCTTAGGCGAGGTTGATCATACTTTGCCGTTTCCCTGATAACTGTTGAGAATTTGTAAGAGGCTCATGTTGGAAAATTGTTTGTGCTTTTATGCTCAACAAAAACGGTACATTAGTGAATAAAAAAAAAAAAAGATTCTTCATACGTTTATTTTTCACAGGGTAAACTGATGACCTTTGTCGAAATGGGTTAGATTAAATATGAACCACAGCAACATATGCTTCGTATATTTCAAGTGTATGCTTTTTCCGAATTTTCTTCTAAGTGAGAAACTTTATGCTAATTCGGCTAACTTGCTAGATAACCGGCAAAATAGGCAGAACAGTTGTTTTCGATTTTTCGTTCCTATCTATCCGCCTGTACTCCTAGAACGGAGTCCATCTATCTAGTTGTCTGCCGCGGCTGTACCTCTCCGGCGCAAATCGACCCTGTAAGGTAATCGCATTAAGCTAATTCTTTCAGGAGTAATTCAGTTAAATCTCAGGATGAGCTGCCGACGAGATAAAGACGATTGGTTGAGGTACTTCGAAGAAGTTTGGTATATTTTCCGATTTTCTCGATAATTGTTGAGAATTTGTGAAAGATTTCCGGGTAGGGCAGAGTTTATTAAAATGGGAAAACAGAATAAACGCAACGGGATATTGAAACTAGGACAACGTTTCAAGGGGAGAGCGAAAATAATTGTAGAAGGGTACTAGGTTTAAACCAATAAAGGCCTCCGACTGGCGTAGCGTGCATGCTAGGAAGTTAAGTTTACATGCACAAACAAAATTTGTTTTTGTTTAAGTTGCTTTTAAGAAGTTTTCATTGACAATTTTAATCGAGCTCATCTTCATCATTTCAATAATACATCTTTTAAGATCGAATTCAGTTGTTTCTTATAATAGCAACACACATACAGACGTTAACGTACTAACGGATTTATTGCAACATAGTTACAAGGTTTTTGATACATTCATTCCAACAGGAAAATTACCTACGAACACAGAAATATAGAATAATTGCACCAATGTGATGGGGTCACTGACGTAAAGTAGAAAATTGTCAACAGGGTTTAAAGTCAGATATAACATGGATCAAATGCTATATGCTAATGTGATAAACATGGAAGTATTGTAGCTAGGCTATCACAAGATTCCAGCGAAAGAGCAAAACGAATGTTGCTAATGGATTGACTGAGAAAAGAGCTGGGGTTACTGTAACGACATAGTTGCAACGAAGTACCAGATACTATAAGATACTATACTGGTACTATAAGATCTTATGAAGTTTGCAACGGGATTAGTGTGAAGGTGTAGGATGCAGTTGAACTACAGTTTGAACTGAATATAGCGGAAACTGTTTTTTATATTACAACAGATTGATGAAATACTAAACGGACAATGGATAAGGTGAGCTAACTCTATAAGTGATTGTATGTACTATAATTTCTTTAAACTGGATGAAACATCAAGGAACCAAACAAGTCCAATCAATATCAACGACAATATAATCAACGCCGTGGAGTGTTCGGATTTATCTAATTTTACGTTTAAAACTATAGTTTTAATATATTGTATTCTGCTGGTTCCGTTATTGTTTCGTTTACCTTTTTAACGGTTTAAATTTAGTTGTTCTGTTTTGACTTTTTAATTAGCTCTAACTTTTTGATATTTTAACTTTGGTTTTTATTAAAAAAAAAAATGCTGAATGACGGTATCACGCCAGTGCCTAATAACATGAGTTAGCAACGCCTTAAGAACTTTAAATGGTCAATGCAGGACGTAGGCGACTACATTCTGGCCAATTCTGGTTCACTGAATTTTGGCTGAACTGGACTGCATGATGTTTTCTCCATTGCAAACGTTTTGAAATTAAACAGGTGTGAAAATAAATATTATATAATGAATATTGAGTGAGAAAAAAACGTTGAATAAATTAAGGGTAAGACTAAATAACAAACTTATTATTTGAAACCTATATTGTGTAATCCTTTAATAAAATCCTATGTATAAACAGATAAACTTATTTAATAGCCAAATATAAATAGTGAAACAATGGTATTATCCCTCAGAAAAGTTCCCTCAAACTACATGCCACTTTGAGTAAACAGGTCCAAGTCAGTTTTCCTAGTGATGACTCCTTTTCAAGCCGTAATACCTGCTAAAATACATATTTTTGCCCATGATCTACGTTCATTTTTACCTTAAGGTCTTTATTTGTTTCATTTTATAATATTTACACTGCAAAAAAGTTAAAGCATTTCTCATGTCAAATATCTTTATTATTTATAACGTCCACATGTGGGACCAAACGGGAAGAAATCCAAGGCAAAATAGCGGGTATGTTACCGCCCCATACATATACCAATCCTCTAAAGCAAACAAAAATAGCCGACGATGACCCTGTAATGCTTGATTTAAAGCTCGATATAATTGTTCAGTGTTTTCAATTTTGAGACTCCCGGTTTCGGATACGACCGCATAGCAAAATATAAGTAATAACGAGGAAAGCAACGGGTTGGTCACAAACTGTAACAAGCGACGCATAATCCGGATAGGCAAAGGACAGTTCACGCCCGCGGTAAGGACCACGGGTACGCCCAGTGCAGCTACAATTGTTCCCAATGATATATTTAGCATCGACAGTGGCGCCACTAAAAGAAGGAAATGCAGGTACATCAATAAACGTTGCGCTAAAGGGTGCACCGCGTTCCTAATAAATAGAGGTGTAAGTAGCAGAGAACTAGATGCTGCAACTGTAAACACATACAAAGCGTCCTGAGTATAGAGAGGCACCAGGTGCTTCACGATGTCTACCCCATGCGTTACTAGACTAAAGAGGCCAGCACCTAATGCCTCTAGACCTAGTACGAAGGGTAATGCCCGCCATAGTAGAGTAAGATATACTGATGGATGCTGGTCCATCAACTCCAGTAGAAGCGCCAGAGCTTTAAAAAGCACACCCCCTGTTAAAAAACCAAACGCAGTCATATAATATGCGATGGAGACGTAGCGATCACTCGATGGAAGGTAGTAGTAAAAAAATGATCGATGGAACCTCTGTAAGAGATTATTGACGGAGCGCACCAGGCCCTCAACCACCCGACCAACCGGAGTCAGACCTACGTGCCGATATCCAGGAACTTTGGGTTCACCACGAAGAGTCAAGGCTTGTATCGCGAACCTATGAAATAAACCGTGGCCGGCTGACGGCGCCCCGGTGGCCTGTATAGCGATTTGAGACACGAAGTTGGTGGCCGCATGCTTCCAACCGTGGAAAGACCTTGACTCTTCAGGGTCCACACGACCTTCAAGCACATAGGGCACACGCTCCCGGAGAAGAAGATCCTTACAGGTATTCACGAGGTCCAAATTTGGGAGCTGACCATTGAGCCCAAAAATTTTTACATCAATCTGGAATACACAAAAAATGTTTATCTGAAGATTTATACAGGAAACCCCACATTTTAGGCAACCTTTATTAAAAAAAACTGCAACAAAAGATCTAGTACATATTTGTACTTCTACTACATTATGAACCGATTTCTTGTCGTCACTGAAAATAGGATTCCTTATAAGTGTTTCAGCATGCCCCATATCACGTGGATGACGCAGTATCCCTACAGGCCACACCAATTCCTCGCAAATTATGAGCAAATATGCTGGGTCAACGAATGTGCCTAGAAGGCGCACTGCTGCCCATTGTTACAACCACTTTGGTACTTAATCTCTGACTATAGACAGACGCACCTCGAAGGCTTACCTTCCACAGTATCAGGAGGACTTACTTGCGCTTCTTTGGTCTCTTTTTGTAGATTTATTAACACATAGCGCGTTATTTTTATTAATATGATTGGTCAATATACCTGCATTTGTTAACAATAAAAATTCATGAATATGATTTTTCTTCATGCGTAACTTCTGACGATGTATTTTAGCAATATAATATTTTTGGTACCGAATATATTAGGAAAACATACCCAATCCGGTAACAATATGTGCTAGCGCAAGTTACGTCCTCAAAAAAACGTTTTTAATTTCAAACACGAATGAAAGTTTCCCTAGGCATAGTGCTCTCCTCACAGCGTTTTTTATATCAAAGCAAATCAACCTACAAGAGCTCGCCAAAATCGAAGAAGCTATTTTCAAGAAAAGGCCGAAAGGATTTACAAGATGATTGGCTCAAATGCGGAGTTTATTCAACTGCGGTCTCACCAATACATTCATTCAAAATGGGTATTACCATATAAAAGCTTATTCCATGTAAATAAACTTTCAACCATAGCGTAAAACAGTGCTTTGTCATCGGCGCATACGCCAAGCACAGTTATAATTCAATCTCTTCATGCGCAGCAAATCTTCATCGTAATGATAAGCTAAGCGCCGTCTAAAATTGTATTTTTGACAGTTCTTCTATTTCAACCAAGTTGTTAGCAAAGAAATTTTATGTGGGTATGACTGACATGTTATCAATTGTTTACGCAAACCTCAGGTACACATTACACGTGTCACGAAGGTTGTTGTTCAACTTTTCTGTAATGAAAAGCCTGTGATCCGAAAATGAATTGCAGAAATGCTTGCTGGGTAGTATTATGACCCGGATAACGTAACTATTGTAGGTAAAACCGAATTTCTAGCCAATGACCCTCTGAATGAGGTGTTCAGTGAAAAAAAAGTCATACCACCGCCTTTTTCAACATTGCTGTAATACTATGCGATGTGCATACAGATTTTCACAACTTCAACGCGACGTCGTGCTCAACAACTCAGCCTACCAAGGAGCAGTCTGCAACGTATTTTAAAATTAGAGTAAAGTTTTTATTCCTGCAGGGTATAATTAACTTGACAATTAGAAAATTCGAACCAATACAAATGTTGTTTGTTCATTGAGCACATACTACTGCAAATGGCACATTCTAGCAGCTTCTTTGATCACATTATTTCCTCAAATGAAGCTCACTTTCCGCTGTGTGGCTATTGAGTTGGGTGGCACAGCTATATAGAAACAAAATTGTTGCGTAAAATCTGGGAGTCAGTCTTGAGCAACAATTTCATTTAAAAAGAGCCACCGTATGGCGCAGCTTTTTGAGCAACAATGCCATTGTGCCTTCTTTCTTTTATTGTGACAGTAAAACGGCAGTAGCCAATGACAAGCGCTATCGCAAGATGTTGGAAATTCTTCTCTAAATAGAAAAGTGCATTGAATGCGAATAGCCTTTAGTTACAATTAACTGCGGCAACTTGCACCACTACATAGAAGAAAATCTGCTTAAAATCCGAGCAGTTGACTTCACCGCGCCCCTGCGCAGCGGTGACACCGAGTAGCCACTCCAATCCCACGATTTAACTACCTTCAACTCTTCCTGCGAGGACCATGTATGTCAAACAGAGTCGAAACCAGTCTAAGACACTAAACACCGTATTCGTAGTGTAATTCATGAAATTGACACTGAACTATACAAAACCGCGATACAGAATTACGTAAAATAGGTCAAAACATGCCGGTTTTGAAGAAGACATTGGCTGACTGTTTCTTCGCATATTGCACGCATATTGCAAATGAAATTTCCTAAGTCAATCATATTGAGAAGAAAAATATGCAGAGAAGCTCACCTCTATTTTGCATTTTGAGAGAATTGAAATCTGACACAAAATTTACTACTAGCCGATTAGTGCAAATCTGGCTATTCGAATATCTGGCTATGTTCCGAGATAAACACATACGGCCGCTGTTTAATTGTGATTTCAAGTATAATTGCACGAATAGTCTTTACCAGTTAGAATCTGAAGGAAGTGTACCTTGTGTCACAAAATGATTTGCATAGAATAACACTGTGATCACCGATCAACGAGCGTAACTGATATATTCCGCTCTACTTCTCAGTATTTTGTTGTTTCTGGTCTTGGGCCATATTAGTTGGCCATCTAGTTACCTTAGGGAAATCATCTTAATCGAGCATTAAACACTGCCTTTTCGTTGGCAATTTTCTTAACGCGCAGAACGATGTTTAGAAGAAGGTTTGCCCCAATCAGGACCCTATTTTAAACGAACAGATATTTACGGACTCTTCTGTTTGATACCAAGCGTCCTCATTGGTGTAGCCGACAGGTATGATACTTGTAATAGTGTCGAGGCTACTTAAACGACTCGCTGCCATATTTTCACCTGGGTTGAATCAGCCGTGAAGTACCAGGGAATGTTTTTTATAGTTCAAAATGTTTGGCACTTGCCAGACTATGGTATTGATGACAGTGATGGTTATGGTTACTACCTAAAGTGATATCGACCCAATTTTTTTACCTATCTAGTCGGAATTCTAGTCTAGTCTTTACGGAATTCTCATTTAAAATGATTCTGCAAAGATATCTGGACCGTTGTTGGTATAGCCAAGGCGAGGTCTGTTTGTAACAATGTTGAGCAATTCAGATTCAAGATTGTCTAAATTAGTAAAGGTTTTAAGTATTTTTTTATGATAGTAAGTTTATGATATTATAAGCATAAACTTAGTAACTAAAGTTTATGTTTATAATATCATAATGTTTACCATCATACCCGTTACATTTGACTCATTTTTCCCGACATCTAGCCACAAAATTATTCTGCTATGGACATCGTAAGCACGCTTTCTCTTGTTCTCTAAGGACTCCTTTTTCATCACCTATAGGTACACCTATAGCTTGCATCATTTTCTTTGCATAAAATAGAAAAGTAATTTAGGATGCTTAAAGTAGTACTGAACGAGTCGTTACATCTATCCTTACCATGCGTTGTATCATTAAAGTCCCAGTATGATGATTTAGTAAAGATATAGTAATATTTCACTGCCTTCAAGGTATAAATTACAAAGGACCGACAACGCATTCTATTGTTATTGCATGACAACGTTTTCATTATGACGCACGTGGGACTTTCAGTCAACTGAGATCACTTTTTTTAGTAGTTCAAGTTCTTCCAGATCGTATTTACCGTCATAGTTAGGTTACTTTAAAATCGTTCTATAAGATCTGTTGCAACTTTTTCTAACCTCTAAGAGAATAAAGGTAGAGAGGGAAGGCAACAACGCCTTGTAAGTTACCTATGGCTATGGAAGCTACTATGAAAAAGCCCAGTTTTGTTCTTTAATTTCTTTAACGTGGGTCACTAGTTGTTAACCTGCAATTCCTTCTATTATTACTCAATAATGATTTATGGACAAATATTTTATAAGCATGCACGTATTCGGAATGTATCTGGTGTTTTATGAGCTATTGTCCAGCTGTCGCTAGTTTTTTTATGCAAGACCGAGTCTTCTTTGCCATACAAATTAACATATCACTAATATTTGATAAATCAGGTTAAAAAAGCTATTCGAAGTATCCGAATTTGGAATAATAATTGAGGTCCAATAGCTTGCAAATAAAATGGACATAGATTAAAGATAAGATTTCAGCTATAATTACATGCAGTTTCTCCTACCTGATCAATATGCTTGTCCTGTAACTCGAGGTTCACTGCAGCCATTATAGATCCAGAACGAGCCTCTAAATAACCAGGTAAAATTACTCCAGGTGAGGTTTCGACGAGGTGGTAAGCGTCAAGCCAAGCCTGCAGCCCTACTAATTCATGCTCTGTAATTACAAATATGATGTCCTTCGACCAATATAGCTGTCGACGAAAATGCTTTGCTAAATCAAGCACCGCAGCGATAGAGGCTAAAGTGGAGCCGTGGGGTGATGCGGAATTACGAAATGGCACAGAAATGACGATGGCTTCAGTCCGCGAAGTACGCGGTGCTCTCATGATTGCGTAGAGATTCTCACCGTGATACAGCTGGCGTGTGCCAAAAGGGTATGCAAGTGAAAAATTGTGCCGATATACCTCAAGGCCTGCCCGACGAAACTCGCCGGCCAGCCACGCAGTTGGAAGACCTGGATGCTCAGCTACCTCTAACTCCAGGGATTCCAGAAGAGATTCGGCATTACCCGCAATTCGTGACGCACGTTCGACCATCCCTGGGAGCAATGAATTATCTGAGAAATAGGTGCGCTCGTTTAATGGCTTCCAGGCTAAACCCGCAAAAAGAATCAGACCAATGGGGTAGAGGAGCAAACAGAGCACAGTCGAATATCTCTGCAAAAGGCCCAGTAGGCGAGGCCTCTGGCCATCTGACGATGACAAAAGGCCCATGAGGAAGCTTCCGTACGTTGGCAGTCTCGAATACTTTATTATAGAAAGCGTCCTGAAACAGTCATTCAAGAATTCCGCGTTTCAGTATGCGCAAATACATTACTGTTTCTGTTGCATTACGTATATTGCTCGCGTATTGCTTGTAAGTTATGAAAACAGGCTGGGGGTGGTGAGAACATGTTAACAGTTTAAAATAGTTTCTAAAGCAATAGTACGACGTAGCAAAAGGATACAAAAAAAAAAAAGAAAAAACATTTTAAAAACGTTCAACATAGTTTCTTATTGGCAATGTACTAATCTAGGCATAAAAATACTAAAAGTTATTAGCTTGGTCGCCGTAGGAAGAGATTCTTCAGAATCTCCGGTAGAGGAGATATGGGGCGGTCAAACCGCCAGCAGGAGCTCGAAGTAGCTTAGCCACTACCGACTGCGGTATTGGATGCTATGAAAACTCCACAGAGTCGCATATAAAGAACGGAGGCTATCACTAGAATAGTAGGTGTGATATACTTAAGTCATATTTTGACATCCTCGTCAGGTTGGGTCAGTTGACGCTCGCAAATAAGCTTTCTGAGTTCATTTTTTCGCCCCATCTCTAACAGCTATAGATAGCTGCGCTTGCCGAAATATTCTATTCATTATTTTCGTGTCAATGCGAAAAAAGTAGCTTGTAGTTAGCTTACAGACGCCATAACAATTGGGAACCTCTATTTGCAAGAGAGTGAGAAATACTGAAACTGGTATTTAGGACCAAGAACGCAAAACCGAGGCCCCTGATATGTGCCTCCAGTATATGCCTAAGCACTGGGAGCAGATTATTTGAAAGAGTAAAAGATGAAGCTAGCCACTTTGAGTATTTACAAGACTAACTACTAGGTACAGTGTTCACTCCTGATGTAATAAGAAACACTACGCAAACAATAACATTATGCGAGAAGTACTGCAATTTGTACGTAAATACTCCAAATCTTTGATAAGAAATTGTAGTGAGCGTACTGTAGCGTTGTTGCTGTTAGCAAAACAGTTTCCCGGCAACTTGAAAAAAGTCATAAGGGTTTGAAAAAAGGTTATTGAAATAAAAAAATTGATGTATATTCAAGTAGTGAGGTATACCCAAATCATAGCAATAGCGAGCGGATTGAATTGTACAAGTCATTTGCAGAAGGAGCACCCAAGCACACTTCTATATAATTAATGTGTCAGCATTGTCTAAAATTTAATAAATACAGTAATGACTACAATTTTAACCAATATCAGAATAAGTTAGTTTAAAATGCATGTCGTAAGAGATCGAATTGATAATCCTTATATATTTCTGTAACCTACTTTCCGCATCTAACCAAGCACTTACACAGATTTCTTTATCCATATTAATCTCTTCGCATGCTTATTCTGTGTAATAAGCCATTTTACCTATAAACAATGATTTCTCCTCGAAAATCATGTTTTTCGGCTCACGATGAATTCCATTAGCGTGAGATCCGGTGACAGGTGCCGCCCCTGCACTAGACTTGGCTGATTTATTCATCTGTGCGGTAACCCTTCGTTGAAGAACCTACACACAATTAGTCATGGCGGCACTTCCTCCTGGTGAAGAAAGAAAATGGACTGCAGCCCAGCGTCACAAAGATATCTAGAATTTATTTAGCTAAAAATAAACTCCGTGAGCGAGGCATTTAATAAACGCTTGGTTAACATTTGATCTTTTTTGTGGGTAGCCGTTGTCTATTTGTTACTTCTTGGTCTACTGTATTATTATATGTTAATTAAGTGGCTGGAACCTTATCGCTCATTGCATAAATTGTATGTCTTGACAGACGATGCGGTTTCATACACTCAAATTTACTTGCTCGGAATTTTTCGTTTTACTGTTGTGAGAAGTCACTTTTATTTACCATTGGTCAGAACAACATTGATACAACTGGTGTATAGAACTTACATTAGCCCAGAGTAATCATACTAAATGACAATTTCAAAATGTCTGATTTGTATCATGTACACTGCACCACTAATATATTCGACGATGTTTCACAAGCACGAATAATGCAAGCCTTTGAAAATATTGCATGTATCAGTACTATGTGAGAAGTTAAAAAAACGGGGCGTGAAAAACTTTACACTGTGGAACTATATTCTACAATGACCGTCAGTGACAGGCCCCGCAGAGTTCACTTAACTCCTATGCTCGTTGAGTGGGCTCAATTTTTTCCGAATGAAAATTATTAACAAAAATCTCTTCTGATGGTGCAGAGTTGCGGAATACAAAAGCATCGCCATAGTCTTAGTTTCATACAATGCGAATATACACTTGTTTGGTGTTACGGATTTTGAAATGTTATTTCTACTGCGCTCTGAAATATTGAGTGATTTTGCACTATTCGTGTCACAGTTCCGCGTGTCGTAACCTCTGATTTATACGATGACCTCAATGTTGCATACAACTGACACGTTGCCATAGGACGTTACGTTGGGGTTTTTGGGCCGTTGGCGATATGGAGCTGCGCGGCCTTTAACAGTAAGCATTTTATAGTTACCTTGCTATAGTTATTACACTTTTATAGTTACAGTGCACCACTTGATCATTTGACGGACTCTTAAATGCGTTAATCAGTTTCTCGTAGTAGTTTTTTAGGATGCTGCTATACTGACGGTGACAGTCGAGAACCTTAACCTGTCTAAATTGTTTAAATAAAAATGGTGCGCAAAAGGCAATCTCTGCCTAGAACTATGTGATCCTTTTTATCTACAGATGCCGATGTGGGATTCAAAAGCACGTTCACTGATTGTAGTAGAGTACAATGTATATAATATGATCTTGATAGAATAAACATATGTGAATGGCAATATAACGGTAGAGCGTGTGGCTGTATAACGTTCGTTTCTGTCTACTGATCAAAGCCAGATCGGTCCGCTTTATTTCGGTAGCAACAAAATAGCAGCCCAGACATCAAGACCTTGACGTTCACAGAGGTGGTCAGATTTTTTTAGCATTAACCTTCAGTGAGACGAGGCCACAAATAAAGCAAGAGAGGTAACCAAAAGGCCAGGTAATTCGTGCAAGTCATGTGAATTCCGCTTGACTTATAGCTGAACATGAAGATGGCATCCGAGTATCCGACGGACGGTAAAATCGGTATTTTTTTTTTTTAGTTTTGTTACAACGGCGCGAGTAGCGGGTTACTCCGGAACGATCGGCATGGTTTAGAACTACGTATCGGGAGGTGTCCTCTCTCGTTCCGATTTGAGGACACGGACTTGTTACTGGTTCGACCATTGGTTGGAGAAAGACATCAGAACATAATGCGTTCAGTCACGATCATCGACTATAATCAGGTAAAAGCAGCATAGGATGTCTTTCGTTCTAAATGCAATTCGTTCAGCGCTTTCGTGGTCGACGGATAGTTTGGTATTTATTGCCCATTGGTAATTGGATGTATCTCAGCGTGGAGATAACTCTCATTAATCGATTCATTTTCAGATATAGGAACCTGAGCTTGTGTTCAATACATCGATGTGATGTTTGATGGCAAAGGATTCGAGTCGACAATGGTTCAACAACGGTGAACAACAGTTAGACTGGGCAGAACAGGAGCCCAGTCAGCAATATCTAAATGCACTTCTGATAAACGCAAAAATACACAGAAAACACAATAAAGACATCCAGTAGGCTAAGCGTGATCGAAATGTAAAAATTATGTATAAGATTAGTGTAATGTAGAACACGCGTTTCTGTTTACCTGTAACAACGCTACATTAGTCCACTGCAATTTATTATGACTTTACGTGATCGTTTACCAACCAGACCCTTACAACAACGTGTACAGTGGGTTATGATTTCTTGACATGCTTTGTTATGACAATTCAAAAAACTTCATGTTTCTTTACGGCGATAACGTTCATAGAGAGCTTTCCAGGGGTAGGTCGGTTATTTCTCAACTAACTATCGGTGTAAAATTTTATTTATTTATGTAACGCTCGGGGACCCAAAGCTGATAACATTGCCATCTTTACTGAAGTCGATTTTTAATAAAACAGTTAAGCACAGATCCGAAAAGTGGGTTATTTAGTTAGGAGTTTTGATCATCGAAAAAACACATACACAACAGATCATCGAAGCAGATTATGGTTCGTGAAGCGAATAAGAAGTATTGAATGGTGACAAAGAATGACAGTTGATGAAATCCTTTTCCACAATAACGCGGTCACCATGGTTCACAAGCACAAAAAAGTTGATGCCTGTTTCTTAAAAGCAATAGTTACGATACAAGTTACCTTGCCCCTATCTAATTAAAAAAAAGCCTATTCCGCTTATAACGGTAGGAAAAATTAGACTGGATAGGGGAAGATAACTTGAGCTTGCTTTACAAAATGCATTTCATCTTTATTCATTCAACCCAATATCATAAGTCCTTAAAGTCATTTCTGTGAAGCGCATTAATAAAATTTTTTAACCTTTGTTTAGCTCTGTGTCCCCAATGCACAGAAATTGAGAAAACACATGGACGACGGAACAATACGAAGGATACCGATCCTACCAAAAAATGCCAGTCAAAATTAAAAAAAACATCATAATAGTTCAAAATCACCCCCCTTTTACGGCACTGCTAACTGATGAAAAAGTAGCTCGCATTTACCGTGACGCTACCCCTTAACGTAAAAGACTCCTAATTTTTAAGTGTTTTTTTGAAGATTCTTGTTTTTTGTGTTGTAACTAGGGCAAAATGTAGGTATTGTAAACTGTGTGAGTTAATTTGGTGCATTATAAGAATTGTGCCCGCAAGAATCTATAGGACTTTATTAGAGCCAAACGTCACACAACCAAACGCGATTATCATCATAATCTATTGACGCTGTCTTCAGACTCTTTTTAAATAAAACTCTAAAATCAATAAAAGTGTAGTGCATTTTTTTTGTAATAAAAACGGCATTACGCAAACTTCTGTCTAATGATGATTCAAAGCCCCTCACACCGTTTACGAATTAGTCAGACAAAAATTAGTTACCCTTTTTTAAAAAGATCTCTTCCTTAAAGCAAAAGTGCAAAGCTCCACTATGAGTTTTGTATTTTTGCGTATATTATTATTCTGACCATTTGACTCGGAAAATAGCTATCCAAAGCCATTATGGCCTTAGAAACGAAAACATCTGAATTTTTTTACATGCCGAGAGACTACATAAAGCATAAATATAAAATTTTACAGCCCTCGAACCGCGCCCATATGCACTTTAAATGAAAAGAATAACTAAAAACAAAAATGATCACTTTCATTATCTACCAAGCGGAAATATCAAAAGATATTTCGCGCATATATATACGAAATATTGCGTAAGAAATTAAATAATGCAGCGTATACGTTTGTAAATAACTCATAAACCATTGGGTAATAATTATGTCTCGTGCTAAAAAATTAGCTTTATTCAGACAATGATTTGTGATGTTAGTAACGTAATGTAACAGATTGTCAATTCCCACTGTTATGTAATCTGCCACACAGAATCACAATTTATAAGTATATGTAAGTTATTTTATTAAATAATAAGTAAAATAGTTTACACTTAAAAATAATTTAGAAGTAATGATCTTCATACAAATTCAGTTCACTCTAATTGACTGCAAATAGCATCAAATTTAGTTGCTGAAGTAAAAATAAATAAACCCTGCTATAATCATTACTGCAATTAATCGAGAAAGATCGTTGTCTCCATAGGACAGTACAAACAATTCAGTACAGTTGGAACACTTTCTTAGTATACGAACCTCGCTTAGCGTTGCTGGCGTGATCTGCAAACAATCCATAGGCAAGAATCAACAATCTTGAAGATCTTAAAATACTGTGGATTGATTTACTCCCAAGTTCTTTGATCAGTCATTACAGTTGCTAACGCACTTGAAGAGATACATGATTTTGTAAAATACTGTGTTAACCTTCTGTCTGTTTACATATAGGGGTTGTTGTTTGTAAACATCCAAAATGGCTGCACCCAGGCAGCGGTTGCTATCTGAATACATGAATGCATACAAGCAGCACCTGATAACAAAACGAAGTATTTATAGCCACAAATTACATAGATCTTGAAAAAGTTTACGTCACTACCATTATCTTATTAAAATAGTCTTTTCGACTGAGGAGTTTATCATTTATTTCAGGCCTATTTATCGGTCTGGCAGCAAGTGATGGCAGACACTACGCAACTGTCGACTTTGAAGAGGAGATTAGCAGCATCGCTGGCGGGCAGGTATGAGTTACCTTTAAGTAATTGAATTTATTTCACATTACATATAGGCATAAATTAACCATCATTGTATACACATATATAAAGAAGTTCGCATGATAAAAGCACGTTCCAGGTAACTACATAACGAAAATATGCCAAATGAAATAGTTTTTTTGGTCAAGATTACTTAGCAGTTCAATCGCCACCTATCTTCTATCTACTTCATTTATTATCGCTGGTGATGTCTGTCTGATATCGAATCCGCTTTTCAAGTCGCCGTTTTGCAAGTTTTGTTCGTGCTATTTGCGGTGTGTGTCCAAAACTTATCGGTGCCAAGGTAAACTGTTTTCTAGTATAGACCTTCATCCAAGAACTGATTTTCCCGAATGGCATTCTTCTTTTCACAAGAGGGTTTTAATAGGAAGGGGCAACCTTGATACAAATCAAAAGTTCACGGTGAAACAAGAGGTAAACAGTTTTAATGTACTTAAAGCAGAATTTACGCTTTCACGTTGAAAACGGGGCAAAGGTAGCACTTTGTCCTGATTAATGCTGATGGTGTTTACAAACATAATGTCATTGCACTCGCGACACTGTTGCTGAACAGCATTATGATGACAGCCATGAGCATTATCATACACGTCTCAATATCTCCTACAGTTTAATTTCCCTCGCTAATTAATGTACAGTTAATCACTATTGTAGCGACGATTGAACACTGTTCCAACTAACACACAATATTTTAAGTTAGTGTTAGATATTTCCTTGTTTATTTATAGTGGTCATTATTACTGCGACAGAAAAGGTGGTACACAGTAGCGGACGCTATTAACCGACTAGAGGTCATGAGCAAAATTATCTATCTCCTCTAGGGAATTCTTGTGCACAATCTTACCTAACTAAATATATTGTATATTGTAATTCGCAATTGAAAGTAGCTGTTTGGCCACATGACCTGAACGGCTAGTAGCATTGGCGTAAGGGCTGTATCACCGCATTGTGGTAGTTGATACAAAGGTCCTATGCAGATTGACACAAATATACAAATTCAACAAAAACGCCACCTAGAGTCAGCCAGGCAGGCTAAAGCCGCTATAATATTTAAGACACTAAACTGGGTCTTCTAACATCAATTTTTTCTTTGAGATCATCTCATTGTAGGATGGGAATATAGATAAAGCTTTGGTCTTTGCAAACACAGCTGTACATGACGAGCCGCCGGCGAAAGGAATAAAGTCCAATACCTGATCAGTTTGAAACCCGGCGTGCTTAATCAGTTTATTTTTGTAGCAGTTAGCCGTTATTTTGCACGAAAAATGAAGGGAACGGGAATACATTGGGAAGTATATAAGAAGCAATGCTATACATTGTCATTACAGATTTATTGGAAGTAACAGAAATTAAAAACAAAGACGAATATCGATCAGATTTTTTAGCTTCATAGAACTCTGGCATTAAATTAAATTTGTATTGCGAATTGAGATTAATTATACATGTTTCACATAACTTCGGTAATTTGTTTAATAGGATCAATGTGTTTTCATAAAACTGAGTGTTGTACATGGAATCACTTTAGTTGTACATTGAAGATTTAAATAAGCTCCGATTAGGCTAATTACTTTCTCTCGTAGCGAAGTTCTTTGCGTTGAGGAAAACATCAAAAACGGAAGTCTAGATTTGTGGAATTTAAATTAAATTTAAAATAAAGATTAAATTGGAAAACTACATTTTATAGCGGCGTTTTCCGAGTGCTTAAGTATATTTAAAATTTTAACTTTGAAGCGTAATATCACAATTCCTTAGCAGACTTTGGAAAACAAATGGATAAGTGGTACCAGACAATTTTAGTTAACATACAGTATGGGGTTGTCTTTATAACTAATTTTAGACACTATCTATACAATAGTTTATTTACAATGAAACCTAGTTTTTGTTATTTCTATGTATACAGTTGATAAGTTATGGATATTCAGAAATAACCCGCCGGGATGCCTCTGGGTGGTAAAAACTTTCGTCGTTTTCTTTGTAAATTTCCCACGATATAACAGGTTTGCTTTGGATAAACTGCGAATAGAAACTTCGCTCGGGTGCACACTATTTCGTTGAAGGGAATTATTGACAACTTTGTATAGCGTTAGAAAGGACTATGAAAAAGTGAATTTGATAACTTTAACCTAATATTGTTATGTAATGCCGTTCTTTTAGTTTGCGTGATTTGATTACATAGAAGGTTGTTATTAACGAGCTTAGACAAAGCGTGGGACACTCAACAAGCCCACAAGCATTCAGAAAAAACGCATAAGATTTCTCATATATTCATATCAGTTTAGTATAATAGTTACAAAGAAAACAGTCGACGAAGTTTCAACTATGAGATTCTGTAATAACTCATTAGCATCGTTCAATTAAAAAAAAATCAATGATTTTCGTAGTGGGTACTACAAGTATAAGATCACACATGAATATGGAAGACGGATGTAGTAATGAAATATCTTAAGAGCAACGGAGCTCGAATGACTAAAAGCTCCATTAGATCTCCAAAATTTCACTCACAATGTAATTAGCCTATCTGTTCTTATAGTGTTTTCCACTCACTGGCGCCGCCAAGCGGTGAATATTGGTGACCGAAAGTCTCTTAGGCTAAATAAAATTGCCTCTTACATTATTAAGAGGTGAATAGAAATATTGTTATTCCAATTTGAATTATATAGCTCTATCGCAATGTTAAGAGCACCTTTTGTAGATTTTTGTATTTTGAATGTGCTTTATGTTGCTGTGTACGCTGCGACATTAGGGTGTATCCACTGATAAACGGGAAAAACCAGTTTACATTTTATCTAGAATATATTAGATGGACTGTCATAGTCATGTGTTAAATGGATAATGTCGTTACAGATGGACCATGTATCTAGAGTTGCTTCGGCGTTGGATTACCTTGCAGATTAGGCGAGAAGATTTTGAGGTGGAAGCCCGCACCTTAATGCGACCTGACGAGGTAGCTTTACATAATGACTACCTTATGGAGTTGTTACTCACGGTAAGGGCTGCTGCTGTTTGCATCATAATTCATGTTTTTAGATGTTAGGTTGGGGTGTTTTATTATTAGAAGATTGTTTCAGGTCGATGGTAATTTTCTTAATTCTATTAATTGGAAAGGTTTCGAGACTGAAGTAACCTTTACAACGGCTTCAGTACATGAATTTTCTTTCGCAAGGATTATCCTTTTAGTTCATACCTAAAACGACCTTTACAACAAACTCTTTCTCAGCAGTGTAAACCCATAAATACGTAGATATTGGATGTACTTATGCCATAGTACAATAGGAACTTAAAAGGACAAAAGTAGTTAAATACTAATAAACCTAAGTTTAAGGTTTATTAGTATTTAATTGCCTTTGTCTACGCAGGTTTCATGCGCATTTTATCTCAATAAGAACTTTGCAGTGCTTTAGGGCGGCTTAAGTGCGGCCGCTGAGCCTCCTCCTTGTCGAAGTCCTCTTCAGATAGAGTAAGTTTTAAAAAGATCGCACCGAACATGTACCACGCGATAAGCAGTAAAACGCATCAAATTAATATAAGTGGTGTTGTAGAAAAGCAAAGTGAAAATCATCTATTGCTCATTACCAAGGACCAAAAACGTTTCTGTTGGCATGAATATTTACATAAGAAAGAAAGGAATAAGAAAGTTTGTGGCGTATTTGCTCTTTCTAAACCGAACGCAAACCAGAATTTGGATCTATTGGTAAACAATGTGAGGTCTTTATAACTGTTTCTTTTTTAGCTAGAACTTAGTCCTGCAATGTTTCAAAAAAAATATATATAAGAAAAATAATTTTAATTAAAGCTCTCTTGAGAATACCCGTTGTCACTGAAATTGTCATGTTGGTTAATTTTAAAATTGTAACGTCTGTTTGGGTCGCAGCTAGGCTAGATGTAACACTAATTAGATCAGTTAGAACAGAAACTTACAGCGGATCCTACAGGTGAAACTCATAAGCCTTATTTTTTAACATAATTATTTACAGAGTTGGTAAAATTTTACGTTAATATGTTTGCCTATGATGATGCAGACGAAAATATTGTAGTTGCTTTGAGCTGACTTGTGTGGGGTAGTTTCAAACTTGTCTAGACAAGTTGTTTTTATGAACTCTTTTTAAATACTACGGTATAAAACTATCATCTGCACTTAAGACGACATAAAAGATTCGAGGATAGAACCCAAATATGCTACTTAAATTATGACTTTGGACACCCTTGCAGCTGTCCAAAGCACCAGTTTCCGCCAGCTCGACTACCATGGCAGCAGTTGATTCCAGTTCTCCAAAAATCTCTCTAACCCCTACTGTTTCGTCAACCAATACAGCTCACCATGTCTCTTCTGACAACCCAATGCACCCCCGGGTTAAGCCTGTTTTCAAAAATCTTACGGCCTCATCTTTGTCATATACAAGTAAATCGCCGCCATATAGTTCATGTTCAAAAGAAGAATCTACGGAAGAGGTAGTGAACTCGTCAGGAAAAGCCGCATCTTCTGACTCTACTCGATCTCCAGTGAATGTGTCTAAACAACGGAAGCGACGGCCAGCTGAATCTCTTCAGCCTCCGGCTATAAATCGTGCTGAACACGCATTCGGGCTCTTCATGCCTGAATCAAATGCTACTCCTACCCTCGATAATCAGCTCACTATGCCCAATGTTGTCTCATTTGTGGTCAGCGTTCCTCAGGCTGAGATGCCTGCCCCACATTGCAGCTTTTTAATGCGTGAACAAGCGTTTCCAGAAAGTGCCCTTCTATATGGCCGTATGCTTGTCGTCGCGTACGAGCACGGGCTGGACGACATCGATGCACCCACTGTTGAATTGATGCTTCAGGCATTGCGCTCTCAACTTTTCCGCGTTATAGCCGCAATGGTTGATCGACGTGTTGCGTGTAGCCGTCGTAAACTTACACGTTTAGGAAATGGCATTGCATCCCGAGCACCCAATCCCTATTTAGGAGCAGCTGTTCCTTTTCATACGAATCATTGTTGTGATTTTCTGGAATCAGCGCAAGTAGTCAATGAATTCAGTGCGCCTTCTGCATGGGACGTCGAGAACTCTAGTATGTGCTCTCTCTTTGATTTGGTGGATGCTTTACGGACGGACCGTCGTCTCATCTGCTCACACACGGTAACATCAACCAGTCTTTAAGTGCTTCATATCTGCTGTGAAATATTCATGTGAACTACTATACTTGAGGTCTATAAAGTCTGAATTGGGAAAAAGTATAACCGAAAAAAACTTTACAGAAGCCGTTATCTTTCTGGTGTAAAAGAGAAGAAACATATGTTATATAAAAAAGTTTCTATTGAAAAATATAACATTTTGGGTAGTCTGAATTATTATTTTACAATATTAAAGACTGTTTTGTTTACATTTTCTTATTAATACCAGTGTTATAAGATTGCCGAGTAACTCGAAAGGTGTTCTTCTTTTTATTATGTGTAGGTCTATACATTAACTATGGAACGTGCCCTGCTTGGCTTAAGACATGCTAGCCATGAACAACTCGAGAGTGAATACATTTTCTCGCAGCAGAAGACTCTCAGCCAACAAATCTTAAAACAGCAACTTCACCAGCATAAACAACAAAATGGGCTCACAGGCGGAAGTGGCCATTCCCGTCCTTTTGGATCACCCGTTGGAGAGAATTTATCGCAGCAGATAACTCATTGTTGAGTATTTTTTTGATATAATAGATTGCTGTGATCAACATGTACTTGATATTATTTGAATGTCTTATCGTTAAAAACTAGTCGATGGTAGTATATATTTATAATCACTGAATACATCGATAACTGAAGCAAGCCATGAGCATCCATGTAGAGCCACAAATGATTTAATCTGTATCATATTTAATAAACGAGTGATCGATGACGCCCAAATAGACCGTTAACCACCCTCAAATGACTACGTACGTACAATAATGGTTAACATATACCATCTAAGCTACACAATTAAAATACTCCTTGGATCCCGTATCAAGAGCTTTAGTTACCTGGATATGAACAACCCAACTATAAAGGTTTTCTTTATTGTTCTCGAAGGAAACTCAAAATCACCATATGGCAAAGGAGAATTTCAAATTGCTCTGCATATCAACCGAACATTCCTTTTATCAAATGTAGGCTGTTCTATAAATACACGCTAAAAACATATTGGCCTCCAAACAAAGACGATGATGTTTTTCTCTTCGAGCGTAGTATACTACGCAGTTCGGTTTGCCAACCTGAAAGTACGCTCTGACTAGAGGAACTTGTTCAATTTATTTTTTTTGCAACTGGTAGTTTAAATTTCATGTTCTGCTGTAAACGCCTCGTTTTTTGAAATAAGTTACTGCGCAAATCTCATCTTTCGACATTGGGTCTCACATCTGGGTATATGTCGCGGTTAGTTAGCATTTCCTTATCGCAGTATTCATTAAACTCACACTTTTTTCTGGTACTGGTAGAGTACTATCTCGACTTCGCAGGAGGCCCTTTTTCATTTAAAGAGCTCGAAAAGGTTTTACATTTCCTCTGTCTTTGATTTCCTATTCTGCTTTAAGTATTGTAACCCTTGCCATATACTCGAATATTGTAAGCCAGCTTTTATTATCCCGAAGCATTCAGTTCATCATTGCATCGAACCTAACTAAAATGCCTAGTCAAGGTCTTGAACTTATGTCCTTTCCTCTTTGAAGAGTTTGTTGTGCTCCAGTATGTGATGCGCGAGTCATTTGGCACCTTTTTTATTGTATAAAGACACGCTTCAAAACATCGATTAGTAGTAAGAGCTTGGATCAGATGGCGTTCCCGCTGTGCTTAACGGCTTCTGTTGCAACTTTTTGAAGGCCTTATGCGTCTAATCTCTACACGTTTTTTTTTCTTCTCAACCGTGGCGGTACTCAACTCATGGTACCGTTGTACTCACGACTACCGCGACAAGGTTCAAGGTTGCAATGTTACATTTATTCAGAGACTGGGCATGCGTTGTATTTTCCTTCAGTCGTCTTTGTTTTGCCCAAGCTTCACAGCTTTAGCCTTGATAAGAGTTGCGTTGCGAAATTATCTGCCACTGAGGCAAGAAGATTTCTTTTTCTTTCACTTGGTACAATAAGTATCGACTCCGTGTGGTCCCAGGCCTAGTTAGGTCGTGGTGAGTTTCGATTAGTAGATACCAAACCACCTTTTTTTTGGTTAGATATCGTATTTTCCAAGTTGACGTTAAAGTTCAGCCTTTTTTTCTACTCATAAATAATATGGTTTGTCTTCTCCGGCACTAATTCAGTCTGGTGCCTGCCCATTGAATTTGCTTCATGAACCAAAACTGTGTTTACTTTGTTCTATGATTTCGTTTCGGCGCAGGCAGTGATCGCCATTTTCCGTGCGGAGGTTGGGTTCTCTATCACTATAGTTCATTGATTTGTTGTCTCGAGCTCTTTTTCTTAGCTAGAAGATGAGAAACAGATGGCTACATTCTGATTGCCATCGATCGGCAAGACACTCATTGCATCTCTGGCCTGCTGTAGCTCACAAACCAAGCTTAGTCTACTTTTGCTTTACCAATCGTTATATAGAAACTGAATGCTTTTAAGCATCTATTATGATTGACTGATGTAACCCTCACCTTATATGTAAAGCATTCGTTCCTTGTCGCGAAGGTCGTGCCTCATATCTTACTGCCGAGCATCTCTAAAAGCCTTTGATGTCTTTAAAACAATCACATGCATGTGGCTGGTTTGAGACAGCTGCAGAAGTAGTTTCGCGTTCGGTTGCATTTTTTGGCAAGTGGCTTTAAAGCAATGGTCTTTTGCACTAGCAAGTTTGCTATCACTCTGGCCATTCGGGCTAGCGTGCTACATTCTGCCGCTTCCTGGTCTTGCCGCTTCTATTTTGATTTTCCAGCTCCATTTTAAGTAAAAAACCTGTGTAGGCTCTGGAGCGGGACTGATACGAGGCATAGCATTTACCACCCGCGTGATTAAACACTGCAGCACTAGGTATATTTGTAGGAAATGAAAAACCTCGACAGTTAGGCGAGCTTTCTAATGTTGCATCGGGGACGGAAAACATAGGTTACACGTTTTTTATGTTTGAGACCAATTCCTTGCATGAACATTGGTAAGGAAGTCCCTAGAATCATAGGTATTAGCACACCTCCAAATTGTGTCACCTTGACTTCGATATCAAATGGACACTCCCAGGCGGTCAGGCCAACTTGAAGAAACCACTAAGTCAACTTTGTATTCACACAGCCACCAGAAAAGTTAAGTAGGATTATAAAGATCTCTTTTTTGTGTTCTTAGATATTTCACAAACATTTTGCTCGGTTCGGCATAAACGGTTATTAATAACGATGTACTGGTTTTTCCTATCTCGGTTTCTTTTTTTCTTAGGGTTTTTCTTTTCTCTTTTTCCTAAGGGTGTGTCGCTGATAGGACATTTAGATTAGTTAGAAAGACGGCTCTGGTAGGATGGGTTGGTCGATCTGTTTTAGCAAACCCTATCATCATCAGTGCTTCTGATCTCTTTACGGCCGATATCCCCATTCCTGGATGTCAGTGAAATCACATACTTTTCTATGACATCCTGCATTTTATATGTATTGAATATGAAAAACAACAAAAAAACGTTAATTTAACATAAGAACGACTCTACAGTTACGTTGTCGACGTGGCAAGCGTTTACGTCCTTGGAACGCTATCGTGTGGTTTTACTGGAACAAACACAGCAACGTGTTGATCATTTAAGATGTATTAATTTTCACGTATAGTAAGTTCAAGGACAAGATTTTTCGCACTGAAAAGGGATTTATTCAATATATTATCCTTACACTGTGAAGTTTCTATAAAGAATCGTGACCTTCAGTTTTATACGTATTTAAAACCATAACTAAAATTCGATATATCAATGTCGACTTTTAGTACGACCTCAGCAAATATTGCTGGAAAATGATGCATCTGGTGTATTTCTGTTTCACAAGAAGGATCTTCTAGACATGTTGAATTCTTGCCTCGACGAAGAGTGGTTTGATGTAACTATTGACCGTTCGGTGGGTTATGACGCAGTAGTTCCTCATATACATGTTCTTTCTGTTCGAGCCTTCGTTTTTTGGATAATAAATCTGCTCCATTCATGGAGCTAACAGACATGGATGTAGCTCTGAAACATCGACATAGTCATTCTAACAGAATTTTCCATCTCGATAAAGACTGGATATACCATGCCAGAGTTACTTTCCACTGCGTCCGATTGGACGGATTGCCCTTAAGTTTCTCATAGTATGAATTTAAGCTTATGCTAGTTAATATCTGAACGTAGTTGTCGGCCTCGTACTTGGATATCTAACACGTTAGCTTTACCTAAGAATAGACCACCACCGTTTGTGTCACTGCCTACCCTTGATAGCTCTCAATACGAATACGAAATGTGTCACATTTCCTCGACAGTGATGAAAAAAGTTCTTACACTTTTGTTTGCGGTGGCGGATCCCTAAAAAAATCGCAGCTTTTTTGGAGTCGGTAGCATTCTGGTAATTTGTGATCTAAGACCGAAGCAGTTCATGGAGAAGCTATGGAAAGGCGTGCTTGCTATCAAGTGCAGAACGTGTTGTGCTTGAGTCCTCATTCTCTGACGATTTGCGACCCGTATTTAGTTGAAGACAGAACAAAAAAGCAAATAAGCAGAAAAGATGAGCGACTAAAAAAGCCTTAACAGGCATAAGTTATCTTGCATCCTTCAAATCTACATATGTATAATATTGTTGGGATACTTCCGCAAGCCAAGATTACAGCTTTTGAAGCCTAGAAGGCGGAACAGGAGTCTGTCATTGAAGCGGCAATCAATTATAGAAGATGTCTGTGCGCGCGTACGTGAGTAAGACGTGATCCAAACTGTGGAGAAAAAGATCAGTTAAGGAAGTAAAACAGGCATCGCAATGTTTCAGGAACGAAACGAAAATGTCGGGGTTGACTAGACAACTATGTTATAGCAGGTTCCGGGCAGCTTTTAACAGGCTAACATAGTTCGAAAGAATCTGCTAATAGTACAGATAGCTTTATGTTGAAATATATATGTAGATACCGTAACTGAGACAACGCGGATATTTAGGGTATTTCCGACACTATTGCTTATGCATATATACATTAAAGCTATTGTTCCATGTGTCTCCAACATACAGATTAGGCCTATTCGCCCTGTCATCTTTGAAGGTAATATACGAGATATGTAGTACAAAACATAACAAAGCTAACTCTAATTTTTCAAATGTTTCCCACAGGCTTTGTTTAGTTTTTCGGTTATTTTCAACCGAAGACTGCACCAATATTGTCATCGATCTTCTATGAAAGAATTAAAGATGAAAGAAGAAGTCTATATTAAAGAATTTATGGCATCGTGGTAAGATTTGAGTCATTTACCTTTTGAGAAGTTAGTGAAATTTTTAAAACAAAAATAACGTTCGAAAACAATGCCTGGTGGGTATGATAAACGACACAGAGCTTTTAACCGTAACGCCTGCTTTTTGTCACCATGATTTTCCATGTGAGGTCGAGCGTAATTGATCAATCGGGCAAGTTCACCTCTATTGATTATTCTTGACTGTTTAATGTGAAATTTATTTATCTGCTCCGATTTTTGATAATATATTACAGCCGGAATTGTCAAGCCAGAACTCATGAAGGTGCAGTGAAACAGTTGCGCCAGACAATTAAACAGACGCTTAAATAAGCTACAATAAGCTTTACAGTGATGTCATTCTGATTCAGTTGTATTCACTTCTTGTTGAAGCCATCCACAATTATCGTAGAGGATACGTTTTTCACCTTAAGCAAAAAGTCCGTGCAAGAATGGGTAATTTTTGTAACGTGAAAACAATGAGAAGCAAGCGTCTCGACATCTTTGTTCTTGAGCCTTATTCAAATAATGCAGCATTAATTTTGGCCAACCTTTCTATTGTATTAATTCGACCAAGGTGAATAAGTGTGGTTTATTTACATGCACCAAACTTGAATGCTAACATTCGGGCACTAGCTGACTGTCACCACAGCTCTCAAGTTTTCGTTATTCATCTTTCAATGGGTCTTCCACTATATTAACTTTTTATTTCAAGGTGTGATCTTTGGAATTTTCTAAACCAACGGCGAACAGCGTTTTAAGTAGTGAAAATTTTACTGAATACAGGTTTTATAGGGTGTATAGCTGTCTTTACCAAGGTGAAAATTGAATTCATAAACAAATAGCTTTCTGACTTTCCATGGTTTACTACAACTCGTCTGCTAAAGTCCCAAGCAACGATATTTGATTGAATTGTTTTGAAATTAACAAATGCAGGCGTTTCTCAAATACAAAAAAAAGTCGCGAAATTTTGTACCCGTGTAAAATAGCGATATTTGGAAACGTGAGATTAATATTTATCGTGTTTCATATTAAAGGCCACTAGATATATGTATATATATATATATATATCGCATGGTATGCCGCAAGACGCGCTTCTCGACGCTTCATCCAGACGTGAACCTAGGCAGTAGCTCTTTAGATACATGTTAATTTATTCGCGGAGACACCGTACGAAAACCGGGTTTGCAGGTCAAAACGACCGGCGCACAGAAAGTGATGCTTTATAAATCCTTTATAAAAAGAGAAACTGGCCGTAGACCGCCTTCAAAAGCTCACATACAGAGGGGCCGCACAGTTCGATTGACCGCGAGTCTTCCGACGTTCCGAAATGTAGAGAACAGAAAGCACCAGCCGAAGGTGATGAAAGTGTTCCTCGACTTCTTTCGAAAACCCTATAATATTGTTTGAGTAAACCAAGGTCATTTGCAGTTTACGGGAAAGTCGGTTCGTCAACCGCTGAAATGTCACCAGAGCATTAGCCAGCCCGAAGGGCATCCGTTTGAATTAATACAAGTCATCTATAAGGTACAAAATGCCGTTTCTTTTTATTCTCGGGCACCATGGGGATTTGTCAATAACAGCTTGTTAGGTCTAATGCAGAAAATACTCGGCTACTTTTCGCACGTCGATAGGGTCGTTGCTTGGCAGCGGAGTAGGGAAGTTTCTTTGTCGCCACATTCGATTTTAAGTAGCCGATATAAAATCGAATATAGAGTCGAACCGAATTTTTAACGAGGACCACAGGCAAGCCTAGGGGGCGAGAGAAAAGTTCAGTCATGTTGTGGTCCAACATCTGCTGTATTTCTTTTATGATATATGCTCACCATGCCGGGGAGACCCGCCAAGAGTCCACATACAGAAAAAGCTTGTTGTTTCGCAGACTGTATGGGTAAGATGCGTCTTTGGAAGCTTCTTTGGAACATCTGATTTCGTGTTCTTAGGACGAATGCCTTAATTGGTCACGAAGTAATTCCATCAGGCGACTTCGGTCATGCTTACGCAACACGCAAAGGTATGTTACAGAAATAAACAGTGAACCGTGAGTTGATCGAGGAACTCAACGCACCTTTTATCCATTGCAAGGTGTCGTCATTCGCCCAACTGATAAATTAAAGCTGACAAATCGTTGCTGACAAAGGCTCTCCATACTCAGAAAAAAACGGCGATATCGTTAAAATAACACGATGGAAACTTGTTCAACGTCCGCTTGATAGGGACAGACGGGGAAGAAATCATGCAAACCAGTGGACGCTTTAACCATAAGCTTGTCACATAGAGTTTTCGGATACATAAATACAAGAAAGCAAAGTATGTAAAAGACAACGCTGATCGCGCTGCCATGAAAAACCCACGTATCATATCAAACCGACTCAAGCAAAAGTATTAGTGTTAGGACACGTGCATGTAGATTTCTACGTAATGCAAATCCCTTCACTAAATGGCAACACGTGGGTGTATTACTGATCATACCCAAGATAAAATAGGGTAAATTTTCACACAGAAAAGACGCAAGCAGCTCGTCATTTCAAAAACTATGATAAATAGTTCGAAATCCATAGAGAAAAAACCGTGAGAACTTTGCATACTGACGCAGGTGAGAAATAACGGCGGGATTGTGTGCGAATGTGGGAATCCGCGCAAGGTAGGCTTAAGCGGTTTGCGGCAAAGGCCAGCACAGATTTAACCAAACTAAGCCGCGCTATACTAGCAGATTTCGAAAATTCCTATAAGGCTAAATAGTACTCTGTGAGAGCATGTTAATAAACATGCTGACCATTTACCCGTCCACCTGCAAGAAATTTTGAAGACTATATACATTATGGAACCGCATTTCGGCAGGATGCACACCATTGGATCAAAGTTCCAAACTTTTCACAAAATCCAAAAGTTTATCAAAAAATGTGGCAAAACATTAGTGGCACTGACACCAGGGTAGAAAACAATAAGAGCCAAATCGTTGTGATAACGAAAACTAAACGCGGATGAAAGCGTGCCAAACATGATGCATCGCCTGCGGACTCAGCCAGTAACAGGGTTGGATTACTCTCGACGCGACGTGTATGTGGAAATTTTCAAATTTAAAGTAATACGGTCTACCCTGACAATTTGCGCCATGGAAAGACTTGAAATTAAAAAAAGTTGACATGGGTTTGGCATATCTCGGTAATCCTATCAACGAAGAGACAACCTTACCCAATTTGAGAGAACAATGGAAGTGGTGTATACTATATATAAAACTGGGCTACGTATGGGTTGTACTGATCTAAATAGTGACTTGCAAAGAAACTCATGGGAGCGTTTACATATTCTACCATGGATTACAATAAAGCGAAATAGACGACAGGTTCCATTTCCAGAAGAAAAATGGAATAATGTCACTATTTAGTTACACGATATATGGTTGCGAGCGATAAAGCTAAAACCACTGGTCAACTACTGAAAAGCCTAAGAATATTTTTTAAGATGAACAACAATGATTATCACATTTTAAAATAGAAATAAAAATCAACAACAATCACAATATCACCATATCGCGAGACAAATATATCTCAGAAATACTGGATAATTTTGTAATGTCATATTGTAAATTAGCGACAGCACTCGCAGGCGGCGAAAAGTTGTTGGAAGGAAACGAGCCAGGAGAGATCAGGTCAAATATACTATGCAGACAATTGGCAGGTAGTCTCCTCTATGTATCTCCCGTCTTCAAGTCAGACATGAGCTTCCTAACTGGTTTTGTGTTACGACACCTGGATAAATACAGCAAACGTCATTCGATGCTAGAAATATAGACACTTCCCTAGTCATAGGGAAGTGTCTATATTTCCCTAGGAATAGTCAGAGGACGCTTTTACTAGGGCTACGGCGCTCTCGAAACGGATATAGTCTCTTGATAAATACGGGATGACTAACTACGATAAATGAGAACGCGGTTGTGTGGACCTTAAGCCTGGTAATTGTATTTTGATCGTAAATAGACGCGAATTGGAACTACAAGCGGGTTTCCATTACTCAACGAACCTGATGGGCCCGACAGTTCTGTCGAAAACAGGTTACAGAGCAAGCATATATATCAAAAAGCAGGCTACATTAGCCGCAATACGCTCCAAATAACTTTACCATCAGGATATACGCCTCTACTATGTGAGCTATTTGAAAACAATTTGAAAATATAGTAAATCAAACGACAAGAAGGCCAATATAATTTCAAAACCAGCCACGAAACCGCAAGTTGCAACATAGCAAGCAAAAGGCAATACCACTTGATGTTAATAAGAGCGAAAGACCTACTCCAAATAACTAATGCGATAAAATGCACAAAAATAAGACAGAACACAATCTGATTTAACAAGAACCCAGGCAAAGATTTACTGAAAAAGAAGAAGCCCCTTAAATCATTAAAGATAACTAACCGAGTACTGCTCGCAATAGCTGTAATATTGATAGCGAATTGTGGTCACGATAGGTGTTATGTCTCCGTATCCATTATTTTATCATATCAGTAAAAGTTTCTTTTTGATCCTCTTCTTCAAGCCAACTGAACATCGTATATTGATTTGAATAGGTGCACGATAAAAGCGCATATGAAATGGAAAACTAAAATGATGGATGCCTGTCAAATTATATATAACACTACATCCCTGAACTGATAAAGCATTTTCTGCTTAAGGTTGGGCTGTTTCAATCTTTGTTACCACTGCTGTTGTTTTTTTGAAGCAGACTTCGGTTGTATATATACTTTTTTGAAACCTCTTTAATCTAAGTTTGACAACATACTATTGTCTAATCTGCAGTTATCAGTGCCTCTAAGTTTCGAGTTATAGGTCGGGTATAGCCGTTAGGCGTTCCATTCAGACGGCTGGCTCGTGGCGTGAAAAGAAGTGTATCTACGCCCGGATTCGAACCTAGACCATAACACGTCTTTAATATTCGCAGCCACATACGTTATTAGTGCTTGGAAGAAACGGGCAATACTATAATTTTATTTGGTCTAACAAAAGAGTATTAGTACGCCATGTTGCCATTGAGATTGTGCGAATTCAGGCATATGCCTATTTTCGTCATAATGCGATGAAAACATAATAATTACAACACTTATATCAACCTACTGGTAGAACAAAGATACAGCAGCAGAAAGGATAGAGTATATTAGACTGCAAAGCCAGTATAGTAACGCGCAGCTTGACGAGAAAGGAAAATTTTACTATGGACGAGAAAGCAATAATAAGAGCCTGGATTTAAGAAGAAGAACTCTAACTCGCTCATTAAACGAAGTAAGGCGGCCAAATGGAAAGAATCGATAAAAGAGGTAGCAAAGGAAAACTTTGGTCCAACATAATAAATTGCCATAAGAAAGCTACGAGAGGCGGTCCTGCAATGGTCCCGTTGTTAACGAGGATATTTCGGAGCTTGCAGCAAAGTGCATTAAACAGGCAAAGCTGCATCTAGCAGTAAGCAACACACCAGTTTTGGAAGTCCATTTCGAAGTCATAAAGCTGCTAATCCAAAGATAGTCAAAAGTTTTCAAAAAACTGGCAAATAAACCTCTTCAAGCAGGACGGTTTCCGAAGATGTGTGAAAAAGCAGATTTAGTGCTGATTCCGGAGCCGGGAAATAAAACTAGCCCATAGGCTCGGCGATTAATTTTCCTGCTGAATATGGTGGTAAAGATAATAGAAAACGTCATCATTGCCTGAGTTGAAAAGAGATAAAAAAAAACAAAAGAGCTTCACCGGATTTCCTGGGCGACGCTCTGAATATGGCAGAGACCTGAATGGGAAAACACCATTTAAAAATGGCGCTAAAAGAGCGAAGCCATTTAGTTGACGAGTATGAGAACCGAAAGAAAAAAACTCGATCTCGGGCTTGGGAAAACACTTATTAAAATAACTCGCACAGACAAACATCTGTCCATGATTCTAGATACGCGGCTGGCGAGCCTGGTAAATGTCAAATATGCAGCTGCGAAAACATTTAGGTACGTTACAAATTTGGCACGGCTCATACCTAGCGTTAATAGGGTTCTAAACAAAACTAGACGTCTGCTAGCAGCAGTGGCAAAGTCGGTCACACGCTACACCTCTGCCATTTGGACAGGCATGGTGAGAGTTATGGATAAAACAGAAAGACGCTCTTATCAGCACAGAGAGCGGTCGTCACCAAAGTGACTAGGGCCTAGAGGACACTGGTGACAAATGATGTCCTCATTTTAGCTGAGATTAATTTATGGGACCTTCTAACAGGTTAGAGAGAGAGCTACTACTTCGACGGGGACAGATCTGGCGACAGCAAAAAAGGCTAAGCTAGAAAAATGAAAGCAACAGTTGGTCTTATCCGGCAGCCCAGAATACTAGACTCTAAATCTGATACCTGACATAAGCAAGTGATATCATGGGCCATATGACAAGCTATCATGTGGGGTAACTCAGGTACTTATCATGTTCGGCAGTTCCAGACGTATATGAAAAACAATGGAAAAGCACACGCCACCACACACATTTTGTGCGACTCGGATCTAACAGACAACCCTGAACATACAGTTTTTGGTTCTAGCACACTCCAAAGTACAGGGTTCGAAACAGCCCACGACAATCTACTTCAATGAAAAACAAAAAAGTTGTCGCTAACATGACGAAAACAAAAGATCCATAAACTGCTGGGACGACCTTCCTTGGGAGAAGGCAAAGAAACAGCTTAATAGGCAACTTCCTGTTTTTATCAAAGCTTGAAAAAAACAGAAAGCGAAGATTTAATGAAGAATACCAAACGATGCAGGAGGGAAGACAAGTATAATTACAGTTTGACAACTTCTTCTTATTGGATCTGAAATGATTTTAAAATTTACCGGTCCTTGGGGGGGAGGGGGTAAGCGAACCCTGAGTTTAGTCACGGTAAGTTATTATCACGAATAAACTGAACAACTTGGTATGGAAGCAGTTTCTAGTAATAAATCTATTTTGGCCCAACACAGAGAATGGTAACTTTGAGACGAAACTGTTTCTTCTCCCTTAAGAAAAAAAAGAAAAAGCATTCTCCCTTTACTTAAAAAAGGTAAATTTCGGCACCGTCTTACAGACATAGTATTCAATTGATGTGCATTAGAATACAGTGCCACATTGCTTGGACTTCATTGTCCTTGTAGATTAAGCACCAGGTACGTGTCACTTCCACACAATTTTCTCCAAAGCAATTTATCGTGAATCAATCAGTGAAATGTTGATCGCGATAATTAGCATTATTAAATTCATTTAATTAAAATTAATTTTCATTCTGTTCAAAGATGCATCCGGTTCGGTTCGAACCGAATGTTCCATTGATATGTGGTAAGGCACATGATTACAAATCTAAACCAAGGGTTTTTTGTTCTAACAGTATAGAACACAATATACATATTTTTGATATTTTTTTGTTTTTGTAACCATGACCGTGTTTAGTCAAGGTCAATATTTGTATCCATCCGCAAACAGGCCTAGGGCTTAGGATCTCTCAAGCTTCTAACCAAGCAAAGTTTTTACAGCAGCTCGGGTCGAAGTTAAGAAGAAAACTTTGAACAATACAGTCATTTATAAAGCGCTTGGAAGCTGTAAACTGCAATTAAAAAAAAAAAAAGATATATATATATATAATATTGTATTCTTATTGGGCAAGTGAAGGGTCAAAGTTGTTAGATTGAACAAACTCTAGAATTCCAATAGGGGTAACTAAATAAAAATAGATGGCTACCGATTTAGTTAAATTAGCGCTTGTATTTTTAGACAATTAGACTTTCAAGATTAGTGTTCTAGCGGATCGTGCTTTGAAAGCTACGTCTGCTTAGAGTGGCACAATCTTATTGCAATCATCTGATATCAATTACTTTATATATGACATTAAAGACTGATTCCCAAAGCAAGAGTCAATCAGGTGCAAATTTCATCTCAAACATTATTATCGGATGATACATCTCGTAAAGAGCATCAAAAAGAATTAAAAAAAAAACACTATTTTTGAAAAAAGAACATAACCAAAAAAGTCCTGTTGGCTTAGAAATGTGCAGCGTTATGTATGATAACGTGCCCCATTCACAAAAAAATACATCTGTAATTTACGAGGGGGTATAGTTACCTGAACGAAAAAGAACGCCAAAAGTAGTGTGTTCGATGGTAGTTTTATATTTTAAATACAGCATTAAACTACTGAGTTTTGCAGGAGATGCCCTTCTTCGACGCTGTTTCATTTGTGCAGTTTATGGTCGAATGTGTTGGTCTTGACATCCGTAAACTACATTCGGGAACTGCACGTTCTGGAATGCCCTGGAAAAATCATATTTTATGTCAACAATCAAATGAGCCAATCAAAACTCAGAAAATGTATACTCAGGTAAGTGTATTACATTCACTTCGAGATTTTCAGAAGATTTTGTACTAAAACAAAATTTAGCAATGAAATTCACATGACTAGCCCGAATTCTAAGCCACTTATATTGCTAGAAGTCGACGCCCAAGATAAATTAGCAATTTCAGGCTATAATGGCAAAATCTCTGTATTACCAGAGCCTCGTGAAGCACCCTCTCATGAGCTTCCTTGATTTTAAATGCTGGTTTTAAACTAATAAAGACAACGCGTACAAAAAAAACATTTTGTCAAAAGTTGTATATGAACGCCAATTGGTAGCGTAGCACGAACCGTCACACCTTCCACAAAAACCATACTGCCCGTTTAAAAGCAGCATGAAATCCGCCATGCATGATGTAGTGATAGTATAAGCTTGACCGATAACTACGATATTGACAATTAGAATTTGGGTCTTCAGTTTTCTTCTTCCTTAATTGAGCCTAACAGCCCGAAAAAAATTTACCAAATAAATATTACTATTTAATTCTAGCGTATTGTGTGCTGGTAATATATTAATAATTTTTGCCCTATATAGCGTTAGCAATTCCAGTGCCGATTTTGATAAACTTAGGTTTTGTTTAAACTGGCAGGAAACTGGCAACGCTCTTCTTAGAATTAACGTTTTAATGATGACGGGCAAACGGGTACATCATTGCTGCTATCTTCCTATGTGCCATGTCTTTTATATGTGACTTCGCTAAAGATCTTCGATATTTACCGGAGACTTCCAAAGTTCAGAGTGATTTGATTATCTTATGTTTTTGCCGACTAACCCGTGTTGTAACTTAACTTTATTTATTGAGGATAAAATTCTTGTGAAGCTAATTTACCTGCATTGGCATATATGGAGGACTTGGACCGCCGTCATCCACAGCCATATGAGTATCTCTTCTAAGAGATGGAGCGCTCTGACTTCCAACTTTGTAATGTTGAGCAGTCGTATGTTCTTCAATATGTTTTTCATCGCTTCGGTTATAACGGTATGAAGGTTGATCAGTAACGAGACGTCGCATTGGCGCGCAAGCCACAGTGTCTGGAAGATTGGATATTAAGGAACCCGTACTAGAGAATCCAGATATCGCTGTAAAATGTAGAATAAATGGGATACTTAACTAACTCGCAGGCTTCGTCCTGCGCTCGCTTTGCAGTTGATAGATAATTAACACCTTGAAAATCCCCAGTTTTTTAATGCTTCCGTAAAACAAGATTGAGTAAAGTTATTCAGTGTCATGCCACCTGAAATCAACCGCTGACCGAAATAATCCCTTATAAATGACTGTCCTTGTATAACTAATGCGATCTGTGGAAGTCGCACCTAGGTAAATATTGTAAACCTTAGCCCGAATGCGCGTTAATAGTGGTCCTGTTTATAGTTATTTCATTCTACCCTTCTATTGATATGTTTCGACACTCATGGTGGTTGTTTTGCAGCTGCTTAGCAGCTCTGTATATAAGTACGGTGTATCAATATTGTCGAATCTGATTTGTGCTGTAAATCTGTGCCATCACAAACAATATTCCGACCCCAGGCTTACACCTTTACTAGTTGTAATATTAGTGAAGCCCTGTTATACTAATTCAGTTATGCTGTGGTAGTTATTGGGATAATTTTTTTTCAATATTTCAGTCTTTTCCCGTAACCTTTTTGCAATAATCTTATCACTTTCCTTCGACGATTGATTCTATTAAAAGCTAACCTACAGCTCGGTCATATGGGTCCTGCTGCAGTGATCTCGTTCTTCTATTGGAATATTCCAGCAACTGGGCTAGTTACCAAAAAGTAATGCTAAACAATTTGGCAAGAAGTCAATTTTTGTCCTGACTCTCCAGTCATTTCATTACAACTAAACTGTTACCAGAATAGATATATCACTTTATCTGAAAAACAAACTGTTGTTAATCCCGAAGAAACTTTACTTTGGTTGCATGTGTAAACTTATCTTCAACCTCAATAGACGGTTCCGAATTTGACATCGGCCACATGGAAGAAGCATGAGTCACAACGAATTAGTACATTGTTTTGCCTAGCTGCAACCAGCTTATTATGGCAGTTATACTTGATAGATAGTTCTCTAATATCATATATGTTAGTGGCAAGTATAATTTTATAGGCTAGGTTTAGTGCTGTAGGTGCTAATATATATAAATAGCAATTGTCACAATAAAAGTGTTGCGATAATTTGTTTATAAAGGCAGCGTTATAAAAAGAATGTATTAATGAATAATAGTTATTGTACTATAGATATTATAATAGTTCGGAAGAAGTAGTTGATGAGGACACCGATAGGCGGACTTGCGACAGGACAAAACGTTTTATCTATGTAATGGTAGCATCAATGAGAATGAGCATACTTCTATCATTGTGAGAGTGCCAGAGTGGCATGCAAATAGTCATCCCTTAGATTAAGAGACTTATTCAGGGCCTGTGTCGAAGTATCAGTTTTTTTTTTGTTTAGTTATTTTTTTCTGTACGCTTTCATAATAATTAGTATTATCGCAAGTCCTTTTCATGCAATACCCACAATTTTTTGTCACTCTTGTTTCAGTAGAGCTTCGTCGATCTAAAGCTTGCAGTGAAACTTAAGTTAGGCCATTGTGATAACTTTTTCAGAAAATATTATTTGTATTTTGAAGCCATTTCGAAGTTAATTCCGTTCGCTCAATGTTTGGAATCGTTCTCCTGCAAAATCATGACATTTGAGAATCTTTGCTCTTTTTGCTAAAAACGCTACACCAACACTAGGTGATCGTGACAACTTTTACGACGCTGAATATAATTAATCTAAATCAAGCTTTTTCATGAATGTAATAACCTACCTCGATTTTCCGTATGTCCTCCTAAGACTGACACTCAAGAGGCTATGTCCAGTAGTAGTGAAAAGCGGCGAGAGAACGCTACGTACAGCGCAAACAGCCGCTAAGCAAACCCTATTATTACCACCCTCTGAGCAAAATAGCGTGTAGTGCGGTTAGTGCCAAGTGCGTGCATTTCAATGAACATATCGTTAAAATTAGCCGTGCGTCTGATGGCAAGTACTCAGTCGCGCTAGAGGTAATCACTTACTAAAGTAGCTAATCATAGTTACACCGTGTGCTCTGAAGGAAGCAATAGTCGTTTTAGGCAAATTACTTCATGGAACTTTAGCTCATTTTCTGTAGTGATGTGCAATAACAGTCATTTATAGTCTTTCCGGACGTAGCTCGTTTTCAGCGTAAAAGCAACTCGTTGATTTAGCTATGAACGGGTGCTTTGCAATTTTGTCTATCCTTACCGATTGAGAAGCCTACTGACCACCCTAACTAGCTTCAATTGTGGCTGTTGTATCTCAAATGTATATAAAAAAAAAGTTTCATTCACTTTGAAAATATGTGTTGAAATTGTAATATCTGTACAATACACTGCAAATATGTAATCGCTTAGGCCAATCATTCATTAGCAGAGTTAGCGAAACTTTAAATTTTTTACAACTAGAATTTTTAAAGAATGTGCGCTCCGGGCTTTTATTTGCTACGTACAATGAGTCGGTGTAGTACTTTCAGTTGAATTAATGACATCGCAATTTCGGAGAAGATAAATTGATGATTGATGCACCGCATCAGATAGGGCCGCTGCTTGTTGGGTCCGGGGCTGCTGCGACACAGACGCGTACTCCTGGTTTCGACCATGTGAACGTTCCTGTGTTTTAAGTGGTGTAGCTAAGTTTGCGTAAAGGACTTCTTCGGGCTGCTCACTAGAATGTTTCTCTGCATCTAAAACAGTATGAAAAGCCATGCTTAGACCCTCTTCCTTTCGTCGGCGCGCCTCCCGAAGTTTTTTCGCCTGCAAATAAACCTTTACGCTATCACTCGATACTTCTTCTATTCTTCTATGAGCATACACATTAGGATCACGTAAATCCGAAAGTTGCAGTGACAAAGTAAACAACGTACGAATCACTGTTGACAGTACTCATATAACATATTTTACTTTTTCTATGTACTTCTTTGTAACCGATCATATGCCTACTGCGCCTCCACCATTCAGCTATGCCATAAAGTCGATGTCGATACAATGCACACAACCCAGTACCACATGCGAAGTTTTAGCAGAAATCAGTAAGAGACTTGTGTGACGGACTAGAGTATGTGCAAAATTAGTGAAGTAAAATTAAATATAAAGAAGGGAAAGATAGATGTAAAGTAAGGTAGGATGTAATTCAATAGTTAGTAAAAAAAAAAAGTGGTTTATAGTAAGGACAAAAGTAATCCTACAAAACTAAATATGACACTTGTACAATATTACAACGCATTCTATATCTGACGAGTACATTCATATATTTGTTGTACTAATACAGCGTCTGTTTCCATCTTCGAAGTGCTGCTTTCCTAACTGGACAAAGGTACTACAAGGATGGCAGAAGTATCGTTCATTCGAACTTCTATATTTTGCGCGAGAAGTTTCCGTTATTTGTTCAGAATAAATAAGACATTATTGCACGTTGAGGCGAAGCAACATAAATATATATGGTAAAAACATAAGTGCAAATAATATTTAGTTAGGAAGTCTTTGTCAAAATTATCAAAAATATATACATAGAATACATAGAGTTTCGAAGGTTATACAACGTAGTTAGGATACTTGTCTTTATAAAGAGCCCCTCTGATTGTTCAGAAAATAATGGCGATCTTTCACATGTTCGTTATACCCTTTTCCTGTTGTTTGTTTATTTCTTAATAGCACTATTTTACGTTACTGTCTAACATTTTTTTGTGTCATGAACGGATTTTCGTCTCGAACATCGCGCCTTCGACTCCTACTGCATTTTGCCTTCGCCGAAGTCAGAAAGTGTCACGGATGGTGTGGCTTGCTTAGTGTACTAATCATAATATTAATGATGGCACACTTCGTCTTATAACAATATAGCGCAAACATATTGATAACGAATGGTGGGGCTCGTACGCTGAATAAATGGGTTGTTAACCAGTGAACGCCCTGTGTGGCTTTTGCTTGAATGTTTTCACTGCTCCGGATATTTGTTCAAATTTTAAGAAAAACGCGCTCTGCTCTATCGCCACCAGAGCATAATTCTTTAAGCATTTTCAAATCATCAACTAAAATAAGTCATCTTGATTGACGTCATGTGTTCCGATACTACATCAGGCAACTCGTTGTACTTTATTATTTTAAGATCATAGCCTTATATCTTTTGAAGCCAGTACTCCATGCTGTTGAAGCGTATATTAGAACAAAGAGGGTATATTTGTACGGTTGAGTATATAGTTTACAAATTCAAGAAGAACTGCTCACATCACTAAGTTAGCCTTTTGAATGGCAGAAAGTATAAAATCAGACACATGGGCTCAGTACTTCATAAGAAGGCCAAAAAATTGTTTTTATTAGTTTGAATTTTTATCACCAAATTACCCACCAAGCCACTGCGGAACTAAAAAATTTTGAAAAAATTGCGTGAATAACCCCTTCTAGTATACATATAAGACCGAAATATATACAATTACGAATTTTCCCGTCATTTGCCACGAGAGCCCAGTCTTTCCTTATTTCTAATACCTGTGTCACATCACCACGTATATGAATCGAGCTGATGATCCAGTCCAAAATGGGTTCGGAATTGGGTTTCCCTCAAGTGAATTTCGAGAGATCAGATGTAGGAATTGACGGACGGCACTGTCGCATTTATTAGAACCAAAAGTAGAATGTCTTTCTATAGAACGACTCTTTGCATAGTATTCGATATTGACTGATGAGGTATTCTTTTCTGTTAGCCGTCGTCGTTAGAGCTAAGACCAGCTTTTAGGCGTCGCTGCACGCACTTGTGCATTACAAACGAAGCGTACCCCTGGACGATGCAGCTTTCCTTGACGGTTCTCTTATTGGCTACCATAATTTGCAATTGTTCCAGAAAAGTCTAGGCTTTATAAGCTGATCGATAATATATTTAATATGAGTTTTTTTTCTTTTCCTCACTATTGTAAGTTTTCGTTGAGATGAAGGGTTCGTATAGATAAGTGTTGGCATGCTAAATGACATATCCGTACATCGTGTTCACGTCACAGTAAGTGAAGAAACAGCGATCCAGATGTGTGGTCAGGTTATTGATTATACCGTTGTAATCGCTTCTCCTCTAACGTAGGAATACCAGTGACATATCTTGGGGTTCGAAGCTGTGTGAAGCAGTGAACATGACCGGAGCTTGACAGACTGTCACACCGTTCATTGAGTCATCATATACGAAAACGTTAAGGACACTATGGCTTTTTGTCCAGTTGTTAACAAACTGGTGTAGTCCCATTTACTAAATATCTCTTCTTTAAGTGGGTCAGCATTGTTGAACTCAGTGTCTAGGTTGATGAGAACAAGTCCATTGCCTTAGAGCAAGTCCAATGCCCTAGAGCTGGAGCGAAACTTTGCGATTAACTTGCGCAAAAGCTTCTAGATAAGTAGCGAGCTCAGTTTTTTTTTTGTTTTAAATTTTACGCTATATGCCTAAAATTTACTTTTACACGATGATTCAGCAGGTGATATGCTATCGTTCAACCGGATACCGGAAATACATGTCATTTCAATTTCTACAGCAGTCATGAATGCAAGTTTATCGCATTCACGATTGTAGTAAAAAACGGACTCGTTGTTAAAGGCATTTCAGATTTAATTACCTCTTGTCTTATTTTGTTTTAGACTTCTAGCTGGTTTTTTACATGGACAAGTTTGCAGAATAATCTCTCTTAGGCATAGCATCAAGAAATTGCTCCTATTAGAAGCCTAATCGGAACAAGTCCTGCTGAACTTCTATGGGTTTTTTGAACAAGTATACAAAAAAAAGCACGGTAGCGAAGCAAGCTACCATTTACTTTAAAAATACCTCATTCTTTTCAATTCCTTTTTTCTTGGATATTAATTTTTAATTATTTTCAGTTAGAAAGATAAAAATTTTTAGCAACGCTGGCATTTCAGAATAACTTATCGTTGCTATGTGCCCATTTTCTTGTCCACAAGGAAATAGTTCTCTGTTGCAGTTGACCGTGGTGTTGTCTGTCAGATTTTTGGACATGAATCAAATAGCTTACTGTCTCTGGGTTGACCTGAGAACCCTTTTACGACCGCATCAGCATTCTAAATTTCATCATCAAACGTTCCATCCATGTCGCCGCTAGGTATTTGAATAATATTTAGTAATAATGGATAACGCGTTTTAAGCAGCAATGGCGCCTTGAAACCAGAAACTGCACGCCGCCCCGGTAGGTCATCTGATAAGAACCGCCTGAAGGCATCTTATAAATCTGCCGTGAAGATGAATTACAGTTATATGACAATCCTTAACCATCTTTTTCAGTGAAATAAGAAGTGCAACTGTAACTGCTCCCCAGGATGAGTAAAGGGCAGAAAGAAACACAGCGTTTCTTCGCCTCTCAATTTCGCCCGGCATTAAGCAATATGCACCCATAATGGCAAATTTCTACGTAGGATCATTACGCCTGAATCCAGAATGAGATCAAATTCTTATCCAAAAAAGATCATCGTTTGCATTCGGTGTCAGTGAAAAAGTCTTATATATTTAGAATTGTTGAAAAAAAAGATATCCTTTTTGCATCGAACAGACGAGACCATTCAACAAGAAAGGCCTCAAGGACAAAGCAAAGTGATGCTTCTTTACCACATGCTACACTACGCACAGCAATAATATGTTCGAGCACACGCATAGAAGTCGAACGAAACGCTTCGTATTTTGCAAGGTACAAAAACTTCTATTATTTTCTGAACAATATAGTAATCAATTCAGTTATTTTTTACGAACCTTTACGCGTTCCCTAGCCTGCAGCATGCGAGCTAATTCTCGATCCTGTTGCTCTCGCGCGATAGCTTCATCATCTTCTTGAGCAAGCTTTCTTGCCAGTTGTTCATCGAGCCTCATAGCATCTTCTTCTTGGCGCTCCTCGTCGAGCAATAAGGCTAACTGTGCAGCCAGTTCTTCGGCTTCAGCCTCTCTAATATACAATCATATCACAAAAACACCCAGAAGAACAGAATTTAATATAAGTAATGATTTTTTTTTTTGTAAATCTATGAATTAATCTGTAACAAGCGCGCTTTTCATTTTGCTGTGCAAGAGAGTTTCGTTTCATGTTATACGTGTTCAAGTTATATGAATGTATGTTTACATTTCTAACCGTCTATATCCGCCTATCCTTTGTCAACTGCCGGTAACGAAGAGCTGTTTTTTTTTCTATATTAATCTCGTGCACGAATACAAGTGGTAAGAGTCAAAAATATCTATTCTTTTCAGGTAACTTAGCGGTTCGATCTATTGAAGACTAAAGTACTATGGTAGTATAAGGGGAATTAAACATGTACCAATCAAGTTAGAAGTAAATGTGATCACCTTTGATAACAATAGACGCTGTAATATTATAGAAGTGAAGCTTTACAAAGTTGCAGTCGTTGCAGGACTTCTAAATCAAATATATGTCAAATATATTTCAACATTTACCATAAAGGTTAATTAGTAACAATTGCTGCGATAACAACAATCGAGCACATAGGTCATACATTCTCGTTTTGCTAGAATGTCAAATAATTAATCATTGTCAACTAGTACACTAATTTTGTTATAAGGCAATACTGAATATACATATATTATCATTATGGACCTATGAAATGTCATTCGCACGTGGGGACATTTGCTAGAAAAATCTACGTTGCAATCTTCTTATTAGCGCATCTGAAGCAAATCGAGTCCTTTCCAGACTGTCCTTACACAGGTTACTATGTTCTACCTGGGCCATTGCTTTTAGGCCATTGCATTTTCATTAGGGGCAAAGACAGTGTCAAAGCTGCAACTCGCATGAAAATAATGCACAATAAGGTGCTAAAGGCAATCGAAGGAGACGGGACTTCTACGCGTCTAATACATTTTGGTATAATGTAGTACAATATAATATGATAGTAATAATTTGATACCCCACGGGCTGAGCAGATCTATAGGTCGATAGACCCTGATGGTTTTTAGGTATTAAAAGGTGGGGGAATTAACGATATCACATGGTCATTCGCCAACACCAGTGGCACAATGATATGGAATACCGATTGTCAAGAAGTAAGTCCTCATGCTATTTGTTGTAGACTACTGTAGATATGAGAGAGACATACTGCTAAAAAAAAGATGCGCAACTCCACTGAGCGACAATGTTCCAAACGGCAATTATTTGCAACGTGTTTTCAAACCAATTCTAGTGACAACTGAGGTACTTGTTGCTTAAAGGAGCTACAAGAGTTCTGCGTGGTATAAAAACTATCAAAAAAAGTAGTGTTATAGTGCACTGTATATTCTGAAATATTTGTCAGAAATTCCCAAATGTGTCCTTCATATTAAGTGATATTAAAGGCTATTTGGATAAGGCTCCTCAATAATAAACCACCATTAGGTTTTCACTGGCTTAATTTTTAGTTGGTTTTTTTTTAAATCGAGCATCAAAAAAGATCTGTTTCAAACTTTATGTTGCCAGGAAAAAAAATGGTAAACTAAGTTATCAAATACAACCTGTGATGAGTCGGCTCTTTTGATACCAGGAATTTGAAAGTGGTAAAAGGAAGGACACCAAGTATACCCTGGTTCCAGCGACGTTTCACGACTTGAACTGAGCAGGAAGTTAGCAAAACAAAAGCCTTACTGAAAATTAAGAAAAATAGCTAAGGATTCCCTTTCGACATACAAGTCCGTTTTCTTTTGTTATGGTCACAAGGCGTACTTGAATGTCGTTCAAAAAAATACCTTGTACGTAAATTGCTAATCAAATACTCCGCAAATATCGTGCATTAAACACCGGCTTACCGAAGTCTTTGAATAAATCACTTTTAAAACAGATGTACGTAATACCTTCGTAGAAAGATTTTAGAAATAATAAAATAAAAATCGCAAAGAGGGCCTAAAGTTACATTAAGAAATACCTATGAAGAAGTATTGATATCAAGTATTAATTCCTGGCACTGACTTGACAAATTCTTCATTTTATGTAGCGCGGCGAAATGCAGAGAGTATAATTAAGAAGAATCAATACCTACGATTGAATAGTTTGGTATGAGGTTTTGTCGATTGTACAGAAGTCCTGCAAGTCAGGACCGTAAGATTTCCTGGCCATTACTGGATATATGCACACACAGGGCATTCAGGAAGCTCTGCGATATTATAGAAAATAAACCAAAGTTTAACTGTTTCAAAAATAACCTTCCATGCAAATAATTTTTATTCTTTATTTTGTAAACACGTATTTAAATAGAGACGTTGCATAAGCTTCTAAATAATCGGTAGGTAAGCGTCCTCCTTGTCACCGCCCCAACATTGCTGCCTTATACGCTGCCAAGTCTATTTTTTTCGACGTCTTACCTCATCCTTGATTAATTCGTCACTTTTTCGATATGCACGTCTTGTTTCCCGATATTACCTTATACTGGTATAAACGTGATAATTTACCCCATCCCAACAATAATAGATATGTACCATAACATTCTTTGAAAAAGAGTATTATGCAACAGGGAGTTCTCATTTTTTTTATTATATATAGACTCGCAAGCGTGCAAGAAGCAATTTGGACCCAGGTGGACCCCTCACCTGATGATCAAGGCTTCTTGAGGAAACTTCTGCTAAAGCGTAATTCCGACGTTGACCATCGTCAATAGCGATTGCAAGTCATCTTATCTGAATGTGCGTAGGCGTTCTTCTCTTTGACTTAACTATCAAGGATCACTTTCATGCAATAATCGGTATCCGATTTAGATCACATTTATTATTAAAAGATGGTTGTGCATAAGGTGATACACCACGTGAGCTTGCACACCATCAATATGCTGGAGTAAGCTAAACGGTTTGATGCACGGCCAGCATAATGAAATGCCCAAGGCTTAAAAAAGTTTCAAATCGGCAGGCTTTCCGAGTTACAGTTGAGCCCAGTAATGCGTAAAGAAGTGATGGGCATCTACTAACGAACCTATAGATATATAATACTCTATTCTTCGTTAATTTTAATCTTCCTTAAAAACGTTGGAAAAGAGTACCTCAACAGTGTTTGTGTGCATGTAGTAATGATTCGAATAATTGAAATAAATATAATACATAATTCGATTTTGGATGCGCCTTTAGGTTTCTAAATGTGTGTGATACATGTGGTTTTTTCGGTGTATTGCACTGTGAATGTTTGTTATATCATATTGAAGCATAAACCGCAAATCATATAAGAGCACTTAGAAATTTTACCCATTATCGTGTACTTCTCCGCACCCGCATGCTGTTTTTTGAATTACTGTGCAAGGGAAGACATTTACTACGACGTGTGGTGCAATGTCAGCTCACTACAATATGCACGACAATTCGAGCTATTACGCAGAGCTTATGAACCCGATTTTTTGTCTTCCTCTGTTCAGAGACACATAGATGATTTGAAATGTAGTGCAGAAATTATCGTTTACTTTCACCTATTCGGCGACGATGACATTATTGCGCCCTTAGATTAGTTAAAAATGAGTGTTAATGATTTTCGTGCCTCTGTGACTATACATGAACTTGAAAAGTAAAATACGAGAAGATTTAACGGAACATTCAGACTCAAACAAAAAGGCGACTGCGAGAAAATTCCTAGGTGGTCGGAATACGATATTGCCTCGAACGTAAAAGATAAGTTGCGTTTGTCATTTAGAAGAATACGAAACAAAAATAGAAATGCAGCGACGGGACAGAATAATTCTAATTACGTTACAGCAAAACTAATACGGTTTTTTTTAACTGCGTCAGAGGGTGGCAAAGCACGGAGTCGCTGTATCCATAAAGACTTTTCGACGTCAGATCGAAATAAGCGATTTTAGTTGTTGTAAACCAGCAAAATATTTCTAACATACTTTCCATATTTGTATCTACGTTTCAAATTCGTGCTAAATAAGTCCAAAGTGGGACAGTTGAAGACTGGAAAGAGGTCTTTTTATAAAGATGAATTGCATTTTGAAATTATGGGACGTAATGCATACACAAAAGTACCACGTTTACAGGGATCCCTGGAAAGATTCCACGATCTTGTATACGCACACAAATCAAACGCTCGAGCAAATTTATTAATTGCGTAGGCCATGAATTCCATCTACGGTGCAGGAATCAACGAAAATATCGGAAAACGACAAGACAGCGAAGTAATTCAAGCGGAAATGCTATCCAGGATGCGAGAGTGGTTCCCAAATAGTAAGTATGTATTCATGGGTGAAATATCACCATATTATTTAGTCTCTGAAGTGTTCATCGCTGATAGTGTTAAGGCTATGTTATGACCCGAAAATTCACTCGATTTGAATCCGATTGAAAACTTATTTTATAAAGGCAAGTTAGGGCCGGCAGAAGATCACAGACCTAAGAATACAGTGCTCAAAGTGTGGACCCGTGATTCGACCGTTACAAAGATAGTACGAAAATGTATCAGAGTAATCCTAAATGGAGTTGCATTTCCAAGCGGCTATGCTTAAGGGCCAAATACTCGACTTCGTGACTTTCCTGCGACAGTTTCTTAAAAATATCTCTCTAGTTACTGTGGCGTCACATGTAGCACATTGGAAAGCAATGAGAGACAGCTTGCACTCGACAATCTGTGAAATTTTTAAATGGACCTATTTAATTGGTCAATGGCTGTAAATAAGGAACAAAATGCTACCCTGGCTTATCAGCTAATTCGTGCAAGGAATGTTTCATACATAACTAGTAATATTTAAAGTTCTAATTTGTTGAAATATAAAGTCTACCGTATACTATAATTGTGCATATATATATATGTATATATATATATATACATGCACAATTATAGTATACGGTATATATA